TACTACTACTACTACTACTACTACTACTACTACTACTACTACGACGACGACTAGTACGACCACTATCATGATTGGCACGATTGCTGCGACATGCCTCTCCAAGTACGTAACACAAATTGCAACAATGATAACCAATTTGGTGGATGCTGGAGTCGTACTCGTACTCGCTTGCTGATAGCATTGGCACAAAACCAGTGGCAGTCGCAATAACAGCGGTGGTGCTAATTAACGGTCGCAGCTATGCGGGTCGTAGCACCAGTAAACTTTGAAGTCGCCGTAGTTGTACGTAGTAGTGGTCATGACACTTCTCTCCAAAGAAAGCTGGCGCAATTGCGACTGCGCCGACTGTTACCGACTAGGTTCTTTCTTGCGAGACCACATGCGGCAGGCGCCCAGGCGACAATGCAATTGTCACGGGCAACCGTGACTGGCGCCGAAGCGATAGCGCCATTTTCTCACACGAAAGCGGCTGGAACCGGGGTGTAAACACCGATTGTCAACACACGTGTCCGTTTCTACACGTCGCGAAAACGCAGACTGTCGCTGGTGCCGAGGCAAGAGTACATCTCTCACACACACACACACACACAAAACCAAAAAACATATTCACGGCGAAGTGCCCAACCAGATGCAAGTGTGAGTACCGCAAGGCAGGTGGGGACGAGGGAGGGGGACCTCCCTATGGAGCAACGAAACGTGTCTGACGTGCGCCGACGTGGGCGGGGAGCCGCATGTGGACGCACCCACTGGAGACAGAAAAAAAAAAGGTGCGCTGAAAGTGAAGGGAACCGCTGCAGTCGCACCCAGTGGGGCCTCTGTCAAGTGGAGCTCCCAATAGGGTCACGAAACGTGTGAGGGGTGCGCCGAAATACGCGGGGAGCCGCCCGTGGACGCACAAATTGTGGCCCCAGGTGGAGTTCCGTAAGGGCCATGAGACGTGCGAGGAATGCGCCGAAATGGGCTGGAGACACCACGCGATGCGGTACCACCCCCTGAGGCGTTCGATCGAGCTCCTGGAGGGGCCACGAAACGTACGAGAGGTGCGCCGAAATGGGGGGTTCAGTGGGGCCCCCTATGGGGCCACGAAAACGTGTGAGAGGTGTGCCGAAATAAACCCCTGGGGCGTTCGATGGAATTCCTTGAGGGGCCTCGAAACGTGCGAGGGTGCGACGGAATGGGCTGGGTGGCGCAATACGGGACCACCCCGTGGGGGCTTCGGTGGACATCCTCATTGGGGCACGAAACGTGTGAGGGGTGTGATGACATGGGCTGAGGGGACGCTATGCGGTATCACCCCCTGGGGCTCGGGTGTGATGGGACCACAAAGCGTGTGAGGGGTGTGCCGCAGTGGACACGTGGAGAGCAGTGGCAGGGAAGGGAGGAGGGAGGAGGGAGCAGGAAGGAAGGAGGAAGGAGGAGGACGCGGGGCGCTGTCCTTTTCAGAACGTGGGCCCAACACCACACGATGGCTAGGAAAAGTACAGAAAAAGGTCCGGGCTGGCCTTCGTGAGCACAGGCGCACCTGGCAAGCTAAGAATGTGGCCATCGCCCACACGAGAGCAGCAATCTCATTCAAGAATGCGGTCAGCACCGAAGCGAGACCCACGGGACGGCCAGGGTTGTAACCAGCGTAATCCCACCAGCCATTTAGGGCGTGACAGTTTTAGCGAGTTTCCTCTTCCACCGTTCCTGTTCCCCGCGGGACTCGCAGTGGAGTTTTCCTGCGTCAGCACGCTAGCAAGGCGGCCAGAGAAAGAGAGAGGGGAACAAAAAAAAATGAGGAGGAGGAGGAGGAGGAGGAGGAGGAGGAGAAGGAGGAGGAGAGAGAGAGAGAGAGAAACAAAGAGAGAGAGAGAGAGAGAGCGAGAAAGAGAAAATATAATGAGAGAGAGAGAGAAAGAGAGAGAGAGAGAAAGGAAAGACAAAAAAAAATGAAAGGAGAAGAGGGAGGAGGAGGAGGAGGCGGCGGAGGAGGAGGGGGAGGAGGAGGAAGAAGAGGAGGAGGAGGAAGAGGAGGAGAAGGAGGAGGAGGAAGAAGCGGCTCGGAGAGGAGGGCGTTAGGGCGTTAGGCCCTTAGACCAGTGTCTCTCGCATCCTGCGACCCGATTACTTAGTAATCAAGATTTCCGGGCCCACCGCTCCCACCAGCCCGGAGCCGAGCCCCTTCTTCGAGACGCCTTTCAACACGACAGAACATAACTGCCTCGCGGGGGTCACAAAAGCCGCGGATCTGAGCCACCCTGTACATGTTAAGGGTCTCGGGGGAATCTAGCCCATACTCTGGGGCAGGGTCAGCACACCACACCGAGGCCTCCGAAGGGCCCAGCGCCCCTTCCCCCTTCCCACGACGCTCGGACCTCCACTGAAGGCTCAGCACAAAAGCCGAGCATCGGGGGAGGGGACACCATCGAATTGGGATGCAGGCCTCTCCGAAGCCTGGAACGCTGGGTCGCCAGCCTTGAATGCTTCGGGCCGAAACAGGGTCCCGCGAGGCCTTTCCCAGGCCTGTGACTGCGCTGCACGCTCGCGCCACGCGAGATGCAAAACAAAACTGGGACCCCTGAATCATATCCGAAGACTGGGGCCTGCACGACACTATGCCTGGAAAACTTCCAGGTCTGACAGCTCACCCGCAAGAACCCCGAGGCGCGGGGCACCATGCCGGGGGGAACAGCCGAGGAGCCAAAGGAGAAACCGAGAGCAGCCGAACCCGAGCAAGCCGAGACTTGACTCCCCTCAGGATAGAGACGCACGGGCACAGCCTCTAGGAGCTGCTTCCTGTGGCGCAGCTCCAGCCGCGCGTCATACTCATCAGCGAGATCTGGCGGGATCTGCCATGGCAGGTCGAGCAAAACCTCCGCGGTCCCACCCACCCCCTCCGAACCCCAGAACTCCTCATCATGTCTCCAGCTGCGGAGGCGACCTAGCCACTCCGCAGCTTGGGTCACTCTGCGCTCACAGCCTTCTACGAAAAGCTCACGTTCCTCCTCCATGCGCCAGAGCCCAGCCCCATCACGGACCAACTTGCCAGCAAGCCTATTACCCTTGAAGACCCGCAGGTCATTCAGAGACGTGGCTTCCAGCAGCGTTCGATGGGCCTTCACTTTGACAACTTTGGCAGCGCCACCAACTTTGGACCACCACAATCTCCACGTGCGACGGCGACTGTCATCAGCCGACAAAGCGGCAGGCGAGGAGGTGGCGCACGCCACGGAACCAGCACAATCACTGAAAACTTCAAGCGGCCCACCTTCGCCCCCGTCACACGGGGGTTCACTAAACCTAGCCAGCATGTGAAACGAGCGACCCCCCCCGCCCCGCGCCCACTGGCTAGGCCCCCGCCCTCGAGGAACCACCCCATACATACAGGCAACAAAGTTGCCCCCGTTGCCCGCCCACCTGGACGGCAGACCACCCCGCTCTCATGCAGGCTCCGAATCTCGCGTGAAACGCGGAACCATCCACAAACTTGCCCCCCCCCCCCCCCCCAACAGCGCCTGCCTGGCAAAGCACCGACAAAGCGAACCCAATCCTCCTCGGGAACTTCTGGCCTTCCAAAACAGCGCCCGGGGGTCGGGGGACAGACACCTGGAAAACAGCTCCGCCTCCTCCCCCCCAGGCCCGGCAACTTTCCAGGCTGCCTGCCGAAGGCTAGTGGGAAGGTCGGTCCTGCGCAGCTCGGCCGAGCAGGGACATTAAAACGCACGGTGGAACAGCGCGCCCCTGCAGCCGCACAAGAAACACTTATCAGCAACCGATTTTTCATACTTGGCTAACCTCGCCCGGGGCCAGCGGGTGCCCGAAACGAAGCTACGAGCGAGATGCCACATATGCCGAGAAAGGCCTTCATCAGCCTTGCCGTGCAGAATCCTATCCAGAAGCCTCCAGCGCAGCTCTGAAACCCACGCCCCAAACTTTTGCATCGCCTGGCTGCCGGCAGCCACCGAGGCCATGCGCCAGGCAACCTCGACCGCACGCCCATGGGGAGGAACCTTCAAATCAACTTCTCCCCCAGGCCCGATCAGCCCAGCGGCAGAGGCCATGCCCCCTCCAACACGAGCGAGGGCCAGGAGGAGGGCTTGGGCGGGATTGGTGCAATTGCCCCATGGAGCCTTCTGCCTGAGAATCGCACGACCCCCCTCCAGCACCGCCTCCAGGACCCTTTCAGACGGCAAAGAAGTCTCCAAGCAGGCAGCCCAAGTTTTAACAACCTCTCCCGCGTGGATGCGCAAAGGGCCCCTCCAGAACCCACGGCGCACGGTCTTAATTCGGAGCCCGACGCCGGCTCCCGCAGGGGCCTCCCTTCAAACTTCAGAGCCGCAACCCTCAGGCCGCTGAGTTTCCCATCCGCTATTCCTGCCACCGCTGAGCCCCATATGGCAGCCGCTTTGGGCGAGCAACGAACGACCTTCTCAACCTTGGCGCCCGCGGCTCTCAGGGCGTGGACCCGATCCGCCGACTTCTGAGCTTTCTCCAGACGCTTGTTTTGCTCCACGACACTGCGCAGCACGCCTGACGACCCGTCCCCCCGCAGGCAGCGCAGGCCCCTGGCGCGAGCGAGCTCGCCCTCCCAGGACGAGGCGAGGATGCTGGCGAGCTCGGCCGGCGTCTCCAGTGAGCCAGCCCGTCTTGTCCCAGTTGGCCTGCAGCTTGCGCTCGGAGAGTCCGTCGACCAGAAACCGAAGAGCAGCGGGAAGTTGCTCTCCAACCAGTCGCACTGCGCCGAGTGCTTGCAGCATCTGATCGTCAACAAGCGACTGCGCCCGCACCAGGGGATAACGCCGCACTTGCTCCATCAACACAGTGCGAGCTATCAGCTTCGCCAAGCCGAGCGCTCAGCTGCATCCTGCTGCAATCGCGCCGCCGGAATACATCACAGCGGAACGCGCTCCAAGATACCGCGCCCTACGCCCGAGCCTGCACGCGCAGCAGAGAGCCATTATCAACGCCAGGGGAAAGCGAGTCGCTTTCGCCCCCCGCAGAAGAATGTCGCGGGACACGCGCTCGTAATACTCGCTGAGGCCCAGCGCCGCAGTGCCAGAAGCCACGCCGCCCACCTGCATGCAGCACGCCGCCGCCAGGTTGTGTACATGCCCAGCGCGATCGCATGTCCTGCCGAAACCTCCCCAGTAGAAGTCGCTCTCTAGCCGCCGTTCCCACTGCGCCACCAGCGGTTGCCTGAGGCGAACCCATAGCCGCAGCCACAGGCACTTGAGCACTATCGGTCGCACACCTCCCCCAGGAGGGGGCTCGGGCAGGAACGAGATCAGCATGAGGAAGAGGCGCATGTCGATAGGGCCCCTCTCCCATGCGCGCAGCACGTCCAGGAACCTCAACTGATAGCTGCTCGGCAACCATCGCAGCTGCCTGGGATGCATATTATCCCGGCCAAGGCCCGCCCTGTCGCTGCGGGTGTCAACCACTTGTCGCAAGTCCTGCAGCTTGAGCCTCGGCAATATGGCAGCGTCGAACTCCTCCCACGCCCAGGTGCAGGGATGGACCCCATCATGCCGAAGCTCATGCTACCACGGTGGGCCCACTGCTGCATGAGCTTCTCCACGGCCGCGCCCCCTCCGAGAGGCGCGCATTGCTCCCGCTCGTCATCCAGCACCTCGAACACCGAAGGTTGGACCTGCATGTCCCGCTGCCGCAGCTTCACCAGGTGCTCGTCGTGCGCCTCCAGCATGTAGCCAGCTGCCGCCGCGCTGTCTGTCCTCAGAACAGCGACCACCTTGCTGATGGACATCTTCGTCAGAGCCCCTGACGACGGCCACCAGCCCTCTTCAAGCACGAAGCCCTCCATGACCTGCAACTGGCGGTTCAGGCGCGAGAACCTGGGCCAGCCTTGCTCCAGCATGTAGGCCTTCTGTTGGGCAGCACGCCTCGCTGCCGATGCGAGACATGCCATGCGCCTGAACTCAAGCGAAGATCCGGCCTTAAAACTGTCGACTCCACTCCTGCGCCATGGGGACTCGCTTAAGCGTTCGCCCTGCAGCGCGACCGCGCCGCCTCTCGTAGACGTCGCGCAGCTGGCAGAGGTAGTCCTCCGCGCGCAGGAACCAGCTCTCAACTGCCTCCTGGATGTCCCACGGCTCCGTGCCTGACGACCAAAACCATTCATCATCCTCAACCTCACGCGGCGCAGGTCGCACTGGCGGTGGAATATGAAAAGGAAACCCTTTCAGGTCCATCAGCGGCAGACACTGTGGCCCTCGCATGAAGCCATCCGAGCTCGAGCAGAACTGGCGCGCGCACAGATCGGCGCGCCCAGCGCCCTTTGCACCTCGAGGCCCAAGCCCGCGAGTACCTTTGAGCAGGTAAAGACATCCAGATTCCTGTTGCCGCGAGTAGGGTCATCTGCGGCTGCAATGGCATCTCTAGCTCGCCGAGCCCACTCACGCAGATCCTGCGGCACAAGATTCCAATCGCCGCCAGCTACCCATGGCCCTGGGAGCAGGGACACAAGCTGCACCAGACCGCCAAAGAATGATAAGTTCGGCTCTGTCATGCCGATCTTGGTCGTCAGGTACACCGAAATGACGTAGACTGGCACTGTGAGCCCTGCGCTGATGGCCGCAATCAGACATCTACTGGCAGGGAGGCCCCGCCGAAGAGAGGCAGGCACATTGCGCCCAAACACAGGAACGCACGACGAGATAGCCACACCAGCTGATGACTCAGTCGCACCTTCACCTGCGCTGTCTGCTTTACCAATCATAAGTTGCCCTCCAGACATGTCACTCGCAACCCCTCTTGGCCGAGCTGAGCTGCTTATCAACCTTGAGCCGATGCTCCTGAAACACATGAACGTTGGGCGCCCTTCTGTCTGCATCAGCCTCCGCATACCATGCGAACCAATCTTGAGCCCTGGACCAGGAAGCGACGTTGGCCGACAATGCCCAGGTCCCAGCCGTTTTTCGTAAGCTGCTTCGAGCGCCAGCGGGGGCGAGAGGCCCACTTGCTTCGGGAAAGCGAACTTGGCGAGTTCAGACTGCGCGCCTCCTCCGCTAGGGCCCCGACGTTGAAGCCCGAGCATTCTTCGCGGGCATGATGCACTCCTGGAACCGCTTGAGCTGCTTGCGATCCTCAGGCTTGGAGTGGTCACCTCTGTGAACCCAGCTGCTTGGAGACGCGCGGGCAAGCCAGGGTCGCCCCAGTCAAACTGCCAGGCATCATCACGATCGCCTGCAGCACCGCCCAGACTGCCAGCAGGACCACCACCGCCCGCTGAATGTTGAGCCGCTGCTGCTGCCTCCGCCGCGGCCTGCTGCTCCTGCTGCTTGGCCTGCTCAGCAAGCTTGGACTCGATGGCGATGCTCTCCTCGTCCAGGGCCGCGCTGAAGACCGTGAGCGGGGCAGCCAGCCCCACCAAGTGCTTGGAGCCTTCGAGCTTGCAGAGGACCTCTTGCATGAGACCGAGAAGCTCGCTGGCGGTGACGACGCCACTCTTGCCCTCCGCCACCTTCCCAAGGACGGGGACGGCACTGGCAAGATCCTTCTTCGTAGTGACCGCGCTGATATCCGCCAGCGCCTCGCGATGTTGCTTCTGATGTTCCAGCTCCTGGTCCAGCTCCGCTTGCTTGGCCGCCAGCGCCTCGCGCGCTTGCAGCACCCGCTCCGAAGCCTTCTCGAGCTGCTTCTGCTTATTGGCCCTGCGAAGGTGCAAGTCTTGAATGGTATGATTCGACAAATCCGCCCTCGCAACGCCCATCTCATCATCAACTTCGACGGGGACTAGCGTAGCTTGAGCCTGTCCTGCCGACATGCCGTGTTTGGACCGGTTGGCAAGCAGTTCCTGCTGGAGCTCTCGCCGCGCCTGCAACAGCGCCTCCTCCTTGTGCGAAGCCGTCTTGCTGGTGGACGAGGAGGGCCCTTTGCTCCAGCTGCCTCCAGGCTTCGGCGGCTTCGCCGTGGACGGCTCCCGAGCCCCATGCTCTGCAATTGCATCGAGGACCAAGGGCGGCGCACTGCCACGAGAGCGCCAGCCACGATTCTTGTGCCCCTCCGCACCTGCCATTGCACTTCCACTGGCGGAGCGGCGAGGGGCTGGGTGTCATACACTCTGGCTCGTGACAGATGTGCCACTTCCAATCGCGCTGCCACAAAGGTTTGTAACCTGGAAATGGCTGAGACTCGGAGGAGGAGGAGGAAGAGGAAAAGGAGGAGGAAGAGGAAAAGGAGGAGGAGGCGGAAGAGGAGGAGGAGGAGGAGGAAGAGGAGGAGGAGGAGGAGGAGAAAGGAGGAGGAGGAGGAGGAGGAGGCGGAGGAGGAGGCGGGGGGGGGGGGGGGGCGCAGAGGCAGGGGGACGGATGACTGCCGACTCGGTCAGCACCGCCGGCCCCGCCCACCGGAGGCTCCGGGCTGCCCCTTGCACCTGGACACGCGCGCGCGCGCCGGGCCCTCGACCGGCCGCCCGGGCTCTCCACCGGGCTGGTCTCCGCGCCGTCGGCGCTGGCGTGCGGGGGCGGGGGGGGGGAGGAGGAGGAGGAGGAGGAGGAGGAGGAGGAGGAGGAGGAGGAGGAGGAGGAGGAGGAGGAGGAGGAGGAGGAGGAGGAGGAGGAGGAGGAGGAGGAGGAGGAGGAGGAGGAGGAGGAGGAGGAGGAGGAGGAGGAGGAGGAGGAGGAGGAGGAGGAGGAGGAGGAGGAGGAGGAGGAGGAGGAGGAGGAGGAGGAGGAGGAGGAGGAGAGGAGAGGAGGAGGAGGAGGAGGAGGAGGAGGAGGAGGAGGAGGAGGAGGAGGAGGAGGAGGAGGAGAAGGAGGAGGAGGAGGAGGAGGAGGAGAAGGAGGAGGAGAGAGGAGGAGAAAGAGGAGGAGGAGGAGGACCAGCGTAAACCCAAGACTCATCAACGAGATTGCAATCTACCCTTCCTCCAAGTTCCATCTTCATAGGCTCCTACACGGATTGATTTCCACTGGGGGATATGCCCCGTGGGAAAACAACCTTCTGAAAATCTGGAATTGTGCCACAGCACCACTCCTGGGACTTCAACGCCGCGAATGCCCGTTACTGTTGCGTCTTTGCGATCCTGAACCGTGCCAGAACACCATTCCTGGGACTTCAACACCTCAAATCAACATGACTGGACATCGTGCCAAAACAATGTTTGGTACGTTAAACATGAGAATCCGTGAAACTGCTGCAAACTCTTAAAACGAATGCGCGCAGCGCTGAAGCGAGACCCAAAAATCGAACAGGAACCGCCCTCCATCCATGAAACTATTGCACGCTTTCAGAGCGAACGTACGGGGCGCTAAGGCGAGAACAGCATTTTGAAAAAGGCCGCCCTCCATCCGTGAAACTCATGCATACTTTGAGAGCGAATGTGCGCCGCGCTAAGGCGAGAGCCACATGTTGAAACCGGACCGCTCTCCATGCGTGAAACTGTTGTGCATTTCAAGCTTCAGGATCATAATTTGTGAGGAAGTCTGCAAAGAAACGCCTGGCCCGCCCTTTCGGCCGACCTCCGGCTGCGATAGGGAGTAATTATCTATAAGGAAATGGAATGGAGGAGGAGGACGAGGAGGAGGAGGAGGAGGACGAGGAGGAGGAGGAGGAGGCAGAGGAGGAGGAAGAGGAGGAGGAGAAGGGAGGGGTGAGGAGGGAGGAGGAGGAGGAGGAGGAGGAGGAGGAGGAGGAGGAGGAGGAGGTGGAGGTGGAGGAGGAGGAGAAAAAGAGAGGAGGACGAGGAGGCGGAGGAGGGAAACGGAGAAGGAGGAGGAGGAGGGGGAGCCCTCCTCGTCCTCATCATCATCATCATCATCACCACCACAACCATCACAACCACCATCACCATGCTCATCATCATCATCATCATCATAATCATCATCATCATCATCATAATCAACATCATCAGCATCATCATATTCTTCGCCGTCAACATGATAAACATAATAATCATCAGCAACATCATCACCAACGGCATCATCATCATCAGCAGCAGCATCATCATCACCATCCGCATCGTCATCATCAACGGCATCTCCATCATGATCATCATCATAATCATCCTATATTCATCATCACCGTTATCACAATCACAATAGGCAACATCATCACCAACGGCATCATCATCATCATCATCATCATCGTCATCATCAATGCCATCATCATCATCATCATCATCATCATCATCAGCATCAGCATCTTCATCAGCATCATCATCCTCATCCTAATCCTCGTCATCATCATCATTATCATCATCATCATCATCATCATCATCATCATCATCATCATCGTGATCAGCAACAACATCATCATCATCATCATCATCATCATCTGCATCAGCATCTTCATCAGCATCATCATCCTCATCCTAATCCTCGTCATCATCATCATTATCATCATCAGCATCATCATCATCATCATCATCATAATCAGCATCATCATCATCATCATCATCATCATCATCATCATCATCATCATCATCATCATCATCTACCCCTTCTCCTGCTAGAGAACTCATCCTTGTCGCACTCCGAGGCCGGCCGAAAGGGCGGGCCGGGCGTGTCGCCTGACACTTCCGAATCATTTATGATCCTGGAGCTTGACATTTGCAAGAGTTTCACGGATGCAGGGCGGGTCGCTTTCAAAACGTGACTCTCGCCCTAGCGCCGCGCACATTCGTCTTAAGCAAGAGCTTCACGGATGGAGGGTTGGTGCCTCGCACAGTCATCTTTACAAGTTTGCGAGAGTTTCACGGATGGAGGGCGGGCCGTTTTCCAAATGTGGCTCCTGCCTTGGCGCCGCGCACATTCGTACTGTATAAAAGCGTGCAGGAGCTCCATGGATGGAGGGCGGTCCGTTTTCAAGATGAGACTCTTGCTTGAGCGCCGCGCACCTTCGTCCTACGAGTTTGAAACAGTTTCAAAGATTCGCATGATTAACGTCCCAGAAATGGTGTTTCGGCACGGTGGCGGAATGTCAGTGCGCAACAGTCACGTTGATTCGCGGTGTTGAAATCCAAGGAATGGCGTTCTGGCACGAGTCAGGACCATCAAGACGAAACCGTAATGGTGATTCGCGGCGCTGGAGTCCAAGGAATGGTGTCCTGGCACAATTCTAAATTTTCAAACGGTTGCCTTCCAAGGAAGCACTTCCATCAGTGACAACGAATCCTTGTTGGGGCCTGTGAAGCGGGACCTTGGAGGGAGGGTGGAAGAGTCATGGCTTTACACGGGTCCTCTTCATCCTCCTCATCCTCATCCTCATCCTCATCTTCATCCTCATCCTCATCCTCATCATCATCATCATCATCTTCATCAGCATCCACATCATCATCCTCATCCTCCTCATCATCGTCGCCATCATCCTCATGCTCGTCATCCTCATCACCACCATCATATTCATCATCATCGTCATCCTCCTCCTCCTCATCCTCCTCCTCCTCCTCATCATCATCATCATCATCATCATCATCATCATAGTCATCATCATCAACATCATCATCGTCGTTAGCATCATCAGCATCGTCACCAGCATCAGCATCATCACTATCATTATAGTCTTCATCAACATCGTCATCGGCATCTTCATCAGCATCAGCATAATCGCGATGATGATGATCAGAATCATCATCATTAGCAGCAGCATCCTCATCATCATCATCATCATCATCATCATCATCATCATCATCATCATTATCATCATGGTCAGCATCGTCAGCATCAGCATCGGCATCAGTATCGTCATCAGCAGCAGCAGCATCATCGTATTCCTCGGCACCGTCGTCATCATCAGCAGCAACAGTATCATCAACATCAAGATCATCATCATTGTCATCATCATCAGCATCTGCATCAGTATCAGCATCAGCATCATCATCAGCATCAGCATCGGCATCGCCATCACCATCGTCATCATCATCATCAGCAGCAGCAGCATCATCATCATCGGCATCCTCATCACCCCCACCACATCCGTCTTCATCATCATCACCACCATTATCACTATCATTATCATCAGCATCCTCATTCTCATCCCCATCCTCCTCTTCCTCTTCATCCTCCTCATCCCCCTCATCCTCATCCTCATCCTCATCATCCCGCTCCCTCCCCCTCCCTCCTACTCCCCACCCCTCCCTGCTATTCTCTCCCTCCCTTCGTCCCTCCCGCCTCATCCTCCTCCCCCTCTCTCCTCCAGCCGCGGGGTTCGAGGTTCAAGGACCGAGGTTCGAGGATGAAGCGTCGAAAAGCTCGAAAGCTTCTCGCGCTTCTTTGGCTTCCTGGGTCGGAACGCACCTCGGGGCGGGCCTGTGGGTCGACTTGTGACGCCCCGGGCCCAGACCCCCTCGCGTGGTGCAGGTGAAGGGTCGGTCCTGGGGGGAGGGGGAGGGACCCCAAATCGGGGGTCTGGAGATGAGTGGGACTGCCCGAGCAGAGACCGACGCCAATGGCTCTTATCCGGGTCAAATGGAAGCGATTGTGAGAGCGCTGCTCCAGCTTCATCTGGCACTAAGCCTCTAAACTGTGCGTTAAGATGTGCAGATTTTGGCCTAGAAAACGCGCAGACAAAAGCCTGCCCCGGCCCAGAGAGAAGCTCGAATAATGCACTGACGCGTTTGCAAGAGAGGTCTGAAGAACTGTTAGTGTTTGGAAGCACCCTGCTGAGATCTGCGAACCTGATTTGCGATACGGGCCCGCGCGACACTCACCTTTGATGTGAAATGCAAAACAAACCCTTGAAACAACAGAAGTCATAAGAACCATGGCGAAGGGACTGCATCACAAAAGGGCCAGGACAGTTGTCCAACATCCTGGCGCCCGAAACTCAAGAGATCCCGAATGCAAAAAGCATGTCAGGCAGGATGTGCGTAGGCTTAAGATGGTCAAAGAATGCTCGAAAACTGCCTGGCGGTTGCCCGAAACCGAACTGGTTCACCATCATTCGTCTGACTTGTTCGACGGGTGACTTTTGCTATAGCCTTGCACTGTGCCCAGTGGTGGTTCACACAATTGGTGGACGTAGCACTCAGGACCTGCGTGCTTATCGAAGTACCTGTTTGGGCCAACCTGATAACTGCGCATGGTTCGTCCTCGGTATCACCTACGCGGCAACCGCCTAGATCGCGTGCACATTATAGAAAAGTTGGAGATTAATAAGACGCCAATATACCTGTTCTGCTCGCCTGCGGATATGTGAATGCGGACCGTGGTTTTCGCACGCAGAAATCACGACCCTTCCTTGGATGGGAGTATGCCGATATTGTCCCTGGTACTCACTTCAGACTGCTCCTGCTGCCGATGACCTATATAGGCTGGCCTGACACCCAACGTTGTCTTTAGCACGTTACCCTTTCCCATGAGCTTCTACACCACGAACAGCAAAGAGTAACTTCTCATCCGACTCGTAAGTGAAAATCCGCTACCGTGCCAGCAACACGTTGGGGCGCATCAGAGAGCTCCTCTTTTGTCACCCGGAATTTCTGTGGTCTCTCTATGGCCGACCTCAGAAAACCGTCCCCCTGAGCTTGCTCTGAGGAGCCCCTGTCGGCCTGCAGACAGCTCCAAGAGAGGCGAAGAGCGCCCCAAGAAGGCCGCAAGAAGATCCTCAAGACAATCGAAAGACCGCTGAACGAGCCCCCACAAGTTACAAGATCTGTGAAAGATGCCCTAAGAGGCTGCAAGAAGCCTCCAAGAAGCGCAGGCCTCCAGCGAGACCATCAGAGGCGAAAAGCATAGGGAAACTGCAGAAGAAAAAAACATTGCTTTCGATTCCAAGGAGTTTCGGCTTCAGGTCGCCTCGGGAAAGCTTCAGAGGGCGTCCAGAAGCTCACAGAGCGGCCCAAGATGGCCACAAGAGCGCCCTAAGACAGGGACACACGACGCCACAAAATACCCCAAGAGGGCTCCAAGATTGCCCAATAGCTTCCAAAAGCTTCAATCGATCGATCCCCATCAACGCCATTGGCCAGATGCGCGCATGAGTTCATCAATTTGCAAGGCCTGGCGCATGGACGGGTAGGACATGCTGAGATCCTGAACACACTCTCATCGCTCAGTTCCTTCACAAGCTATGGTATGAGAAAGTGGGTAAATGGCACGAACAGCTACGAAGGCGCAAAGCCTTATGTTTTGGCAGGCGGGTGGGTTTGATGCACTGTCTGGAGAGTCACAAAACAACTTTCGTTCATTCTAAAAAACAATACGGGCCGGTCGCCGGACATGACCGAATCCGGGCGGGGCATGCACAGTGTTTCCATATTTTCTTCGCGGGAAGTCCATCCTACATATGAGAGCATACCACTCAGTGCGCAATCAGAGCTGGCCAAGACACTTCCCCGTATGAACTGTAACATTCAGTCGAAACGCTCTGACCCAGCGCTGCAACCTACGAAGGAATGATACAGCGAGGGCCACGCGCGCACTCGCGTTTCAAAATCATTGCAGAACGTAGCATTGTTGAAAATCATAACATGCTGAAATTATTCAAACCATACGTTTCTCAAGCCTGATGACGGGCCCAACTTTACGCAGCTGCGCATAACGCGGGGCGCGGTCCTCTCTTCATATGGTGCGCACCGCTTATTCCACTCTACCCTAACCGTGTCCTGAGGGACTACACTACTACACTGTTCTACGTGCCTTATACATATATATATAGACAAACATACATATACATACTGGTCTACCTATCTCTACTGCTGTACTGCTCGTCTGATCTGTTATGTCTCTAATGCATAGATGCCGCTCTACTTCGATAGGAATGATCAGGCTAGATCCCACCCGCCCACACGCAGGCGCAGCCAGTATGAGCAGCCTGAACGCGCAATCTGGACAAGTCCTGTCCTGCGACTGGGGGGGTCACACGAACAAATTCATAAAGCCACTGGAAGACAAGCGATCAGAAGTTGACCTGACGCTCAACACCGAGCGGCTTTCTGGAAGACCGCACCGCCAGATCGCCCGTCGCCGTGCTGCTTGAACCGCGGCCCGCCCAGTTGCCAGACGAGCATTGGCGGAGGGCTGTGCCGGCACGCCGAGCCCGGCGGCGGCGCGGGGTCGCCGCCGGCTCGGGCCGCGTCGTTCCCTGCGGAGGGCCCGGGTGCCTTGGCCCGGACCTCGACATCTGCGTCCTGCTCCGGGTCCGCGTCGCCGATCTGGGCGCGGTGCCGCTCGCAGGAGGCCTGCAACCACCTGGGCGACGAAAAATGACACGGGCCTTACGCGAGACGGCATAGCGACCTGACGCGGTGGCTTACGCGGGCCGCCAGCTGAGCCGCGTGCGGCTTGCACATGTTGGCGGGGCCTGAGCACGCTCGTCTGCAGGCCTGGCGGCCGCATGGGCCTAAGCTCTGACCAGGCTCGAGACGGGAACCCCGGCACCAAGCCCTCCGCGCCTGCCACCGGCCGTCGTCGGCACGCATCCGAGCTCCTCCAGGTCTTTGACGGCCATGGGCAGCACGACGCCTGCCGGCGGCAGGACACCGGCTGCTGCCCCGACCTTGTGATTCGGCTCTCGCAGTCCCCCCCTCTCTCTCTCTCCTTCTGTGTGCTTCCCCCTCGCTATCCCCACAGGGAAGGAGCCTCAAGTCAGGAATCGGACAGCCAGTGGCTGCCCCACGGAAAGTTCTTGTCCACCGGTGGCCCCAGGTGGGACCCACAGAAGATCTGGGGCACCTGGCACCCTGAAGATTTCTCAGAACAAGATGTCTCATCGTATGTGTCCATCGGGGATGGACAGACCCCCCTTTAGTAAAACGTGGTTCAGTGAAAACGACCTCGGGCCAAACCTGGCGGGCGCAAGCCTGGAAGACGACGGCCGCGGCGCCCTCTCGAGAGCCGAAAACGGACAATTCACTGATCGGCGTGTCAGGGTGGGAGTTCTGTCCACCCCCGAGTCTACTCCTACCCTTCTGCCCCCTTCCAAATCCCGAGGAGGGGGGGCGGTACCCCCCCAGAAGACATCTCCCTCGAGGATCACCTGGGCCCCCCCTGTGGACCTCCCGGGCGCCCCTGCAGAGCGCACGCCGGGCCTCCCAGACCTCGCGGACGTCACCGCCGCGCGCCGCGAACGGGCCAGTGGCGGCCAGGAGGGCGGCCAAGACGCAGCCAAGGGTCCCCCCCCCCCCAAAAAAAAAAAAACGCTGGGGGCTCGGAGGGACCACCCACGAGGCTTCCAGAAGGCTTCAGAGCCTCCACAAGAGGCCGCAGACAGCAAAAGCCGAAGCAAACAAAACACTGGGGGGGCGGGGGGCATGCTGTGTCATCGAGATAGCTCCGATTCTGCCTCCGCAAACCGAAGGAGAGCCCAACATGGCCCCAAGAAGCTAGCAAGGCGCCAGGGATGGCCCCAAGAGGCTACCAAGACGGTCCAAGAGGCACTCCAAAAAAGCTCGAGCCGGCACGAGAACACTGCCCAAAAACATCCCAAAGGACTTCCGGACTGGACGGGTGCGTGGCAAGAAGGCCCAGAAAAAGGATCGGACCCGACATCCCTAATGGCTGCCCGCAAGGGATCGCGAGAACCCGGTAGAAGACCCGCAGGGGCCCAGAGGGACAGCCCAGGAGGGCTCCAAGAAAGGAGCGAACCCCTGGGGACCCCAGAGGAGCGCCGCAGAGGCCATGGGAAACAGCCCCCAAAGAAGGTCCAAGACCACTTCACGAGAGCCCGAAAAACGAGGAGGAGGAGGAGGAGGAGGAGCGGGAGGGAGAGCAGGAGAAAGAGGTGGGTGATCGAAGTGGATGAAATATGGGGAAAAAAACTCTCTATACACCCACGCTTTTCCGGCCCTGCACTGACACTTGCACAACAATGCGGATCCTGGTATATACGGGATCCTGGTGTATACACGTTTCGTTGTCCGCAGCAAACGGATAAACCAAAATATACACCACACCACCCCGACGTCGTCTCCGATCCTCAAAAAGTCCTGGGATTGAACAATAGCCCGCCACTGGTAATGTATATGCTCAAATTTCCTATAAGAAAGAGAGACCAGCTTTGCGGAGTCTTTTCCGTAAGCAGGGTGGCGCAGCCTGGCCTTGGCCATTTGCTGTTATCTGGCTGCCAAACTTGCGAGTACCACTTCGCGGACGTGGTATTATGCTCGTTTGCACGCGCCTCCCCCTTGGTGGAACTTCGATGAGCAAGGTGCACGGCGCGAAGAGCCGATGCTGCCTTGCATTCAAAAGTATGCGTATACAAATGTATATGCGTATCCGCTGGCCCCCTTGCGGGGCCACCAGACTGCGAGGATGAGGATTGCAGCTCACTGTTCCAGCTGCAGTTTCCAGTTTCCACTGTTACAGCCCTGTTTTCTGCTTCCTTACTGTCAATTGTTGCTGTCCGCGAGGGGGGTGGGAGCCCCAAATCAAGTTTTTTTACCACGCCCTGGGAGGCTTCTCAGAATTCGTGGGGGGGGGCGTGGGACACGTAAAAATATATGATATCAAGGCCATAATCCCTAGTAAATTATACCAGATTCGCGTCCCCAAGGCCATCAACCCTCGTAAACTTCACGCTGCTCGCCTTCCCAAAGCCATAATCCCTATTAGATTACTCGATGTGAGGCCACAAACCCTTGTAAATCAGTCAATATTCGCGTCCCCGAATCCATGAACCTTTATATAAATTACCAGATTCGCGCCCCCTGAACCATAAACCCTCGAAAATTATACGATATTCGCGTGCCCAATGCCATAAACCTTCGTAAATTACACCATACTTGCGTCCGCGAGGCCGCAAACCCTTGCAAATTACATCATAGATTCGCGTCCCCGAGGCCATTAACTCAATATTTGCGCCCCCGAGGCCATAAACCCTTGTACATTACAATAGTTGCGTCCCCGAGGCCACGAACGCTTGTAAATTACAATATAAGATTCGCGCCACCGAAACCATAAACCCTCGTAAATTAGTATTGGCCCTCGCGTGAAGTCCCGACACTGCTTCACGTTAGCGTCCAGACATCCCAACACAGCTCTGGCAAGTCCCATTCTAAGAGAAAGGGCCGGCGGCATGGGGGCGAAGCCCTTACGTATGCATTATGTATATGTGCACACACGTACAAGTGTGTATGAATAGTGCGGGGAGCCCTGTTTTGTTATGATTCGCGTGGGGACCTATTTTGACTCCCGCCCCCATTCCCCCGTTTCCCTCCTCCCCTAGCTCCTCCTCTAACACACACACACACACACACACATTCCGACCCCTCATCACTCCATCGACACGTGTCGTGCAAGTACAAGCGCGCGTGCATGCACAAGTGCTGCGTTATCTCGTAGCTGGCCGGGGGAGTTCCACGGCGTGCTCGCAGAACAAGCACGAGCGAGGAGCTCCTGAAGGCGCAGCGTGGCTGGCGCACACAAGCTATAAGACAAGGGCGCAGGGAGACGGCAAGAAGGCGGCGCCCGAGGCCAGTCGACAACCGCTCATTTCGCATGCTGAGTCGCAGCGCTCGAAGAACAACTGCCATCGTCGACGGGAAAGCAGCGGAATGCAGCCGCCTCCGTACCTGCCCAGCGCTGCGCCACCTCGCGAGGAGGACCTTCCTCATGGGCACGCTCGTCTCCCAGGAGGAGGCACTTCTTCATGTACATGATGCGCCGTTCGTGCCCTCGGCTCGAGTTTGGGTCCGCGGGCACTGCCCCAACAGCGACCAGGTCGATGCCTGCCGCAGAGAAGCAGTTCGTGACAGCCAGGACGCTGAAATGAAGACCTCTTTGGGGACAAAAAGGGGCCCTGGTTGTCGGGCCGCTCTGTAGACCCAGGTCGGGGAACCCACTCGAAGCCGAGGCTCGCCGTGGCCAGAAGAGCGCCGTCGCTTCTGCTTCGGCGCTCCTCGTGGTAGCACGACGGCTGTGCCTTCCTCTCGTCCCTGCTCTCGTAGGGGACGCGGACGATGCCCGTCGACTCCGTGTCGGGCCCGCCGCTCCCGGAGAACTCCGTGGGGTGGGCCTCCGGCGCGCCACGGAGGAGTGGGCCTGGCCCCGCTTCGCCGCAGCCCTCTCCGGGGCACGGTCCGCGATGGTGATGCCTCGGCGAGCGAGCACGACGCTTCGGATTGGCACCTCCAAGTGCTTCACACCCTCGTGATGATCCCGCCGCTCTGCAGCCTGCACGGCGCAGGGGCGCCGAACAGAGCACGCCACATCCCGCCGGAGCAGGTCGCCGAGACAGGACGGGCATGAGCAGAAGTCGTGGGCTGGAGCTGGTGGCTGCGGGCGCGTAGACACGTGCGCTTTTGCGGGCCGTGTTCAGCGCTGGGCGATTGGAATCCAAACCAAGAAGACAGCAATGTCGAAATGTGGCTTCCCAGAACAACATCGCAGTCGACGTCTTGTGAATGGTTGCAGTCGGGAATCACAGCTTCTCCCTGGCGGCCACTCCGAAGGCAGAGCACAGAGCCCAATCGCTCCAGCCACATCTGCGAGGACAACTGGCGTTTCGCCATTTGCGTAGGAGCTTTGGGGGGGCAACCAGGTCGTACTGTACTTACTCAAGAATCGACTGTGCCGGAAGCGCCGTTGAATCGGCCCGCAACGAAGGCCTCAAACACCCACGAACGCACGAACGAGAGGCGAAGCAGAAAGCCCCAGAGCCGGTCGAATCTAGAAGCAAATAGATCGGGCCAAGTCGGCCTGGCCAAATCCAAAAACGGAAGATCAGGACCGTTGGGTCAGGTCGAACCTAGGAACCAATAGACCTGGTCAGTTGGGTCAGGTCTTGAACTGCCCACAAGGACAAAAATTAGCGGCGCGTCGAGCGGGGAAATAAGAGGTTGCAGGCCTTCTCAAAGGGGCCGGGGCTTTTCAGAAGCCCTCCAGTCTCCTGGGAAACCCTCTATGGTTTCGGAGAAAGCTTCGGAAGCTTCTCAGACGGGCCAGAGGCCTTCGGAGCCTTCTGAAAAGGCCCGCCCCCTCTGCCTTCCCCCCTGGGCGCGCCGCCGAAAAACAGCAATCGAGGGGGCCTGACAGGTGGTACGAGGACAGCTTCGCGTTGGCCGCGACCGCCTCCTCGAAGGACCAGCCGCAGCTGTAGCTCTCGCCAAACGTCTCCTCGGCGCCAGGGGGGGCCGAGCGGGGACGGCCGGGCACGGCCGGGGAGGTTCAGATGCTCGTTCTGGGGGCCTTCCTGGCGCCACTCCTCCTCCTCCTCCTCCTCATCCTCCTCCTCATCATCATCATTACCATCCTCATCTTCCTCCTCTTCTTTTTCTTCTTCTTAATACGATTGTGCTTGTTATTATTGGTGTTACCCTTCTTCGTAGAAGTATGATTCTTGTCCATACGATTCGTAGTAGTCGTACTACATGTTTTTAGCCGATGACATCAATCATATTGCCCTCATCTTCTTACCATTGATAAATATACTACTACTACTACTACTACTACTACTACTACTACTACCACCACCACGACTACTACTACGACGACGACGACTACTACTACTACGACTACTACTACGACTACTACTACTACTACTACTACTACTACTACTACTACGAACAGTCTGTCTACGACAACTACTCCTACAACTACTACTACTACTACTACTACTACTACTACTACTACTACTACTACTACTACCACTACTACCACTACTACTGCCACCACTTCCTACTACTACTACTACTTCTACTTATAATTATACTTATACTTATACTTCTACTTCTTCTACTACTACTACTACTACTACTACTACTACTACGACTACTACTACTACTACTACTACTACTACTTCTATTACTACTACTACTACTACTACTACTACTACTACTACTACTACGATTACTACTACTACTACTACTACTACTACTACTACTACTACTACTACGACCACTACTACTACTACTACTACTACTACTACTACTGCTACTGCTACTTCTACTACCTCTACTACTACGACTACTACTACGACTACTACTACTACTACGACTACGACTACGACTACGACTACTACTACTACTACTACTACTACTACTGCGACTGCTAGTGTTCGCATTGTTACCACTAATAATACCAATTATACTCTTACGATTAGTCGTATGAGTCTGATTAGTATCACTCCTCCTCTTCCTCCTGCTCCTCCTCTTCCTCCCCCTCCTCCTCCTCATCATCCAAGGTTTGGATCAGATCGCGGGCGACAGAGGGCCTGTTTGTATGAGTCCCCAGCCTCTTGCCCGTTCAGGGCGAGGGGTGAAACGACGGGCGCGCACCGTGATCGCACGCCCTCCCCCGCCTGGCACAGGCGGCTGCGGCGTCGGCATCGCACCACGGAGACCATCACCTCGCAGCCATGGCTGGGGAAGGCGCTGGTGGCTGTGGCAAGGCGGGCGCTCGCCGGAGGGAGCCTTCCAGGTTGGCGTCGCGGGCCCCGCCTGAGCGTGAAGAGGCGTGGCGCTGTTCGCACACAGATTGCCGCTGCGCCAGGAACCTCCTCCACTGGAAGTGGTGCAAGCACTGTGGGCGAGCGAAGAACGGCGGATCATCACAGCCGCCGTGAAGTCGCGACCGCACTACGAGGAGGTGGGACTGGTGGTGCTTGTCGGGCTGGTGGTGAGCTCGATGTGGACGCCACGCAGGCTCTGGCCGTTTTCGCCGAGTCACAAAGTAACAAGGAGATGGCCGAGAAGCATCGCGCGGCCATTCCATATCAGTCCCAGTCTAGAGCCACTTTCTCGACCCTTTCCACGGACGTGCTGCGCTACATGGTGCAGCTTACGGAGAAGGCGGGGGGGCAGGAGACAGCGAATAAGTACAATCAGCAACTCGAGCAGCTCCAAAGACCACTGCGGAGGAGCCCTCGCAGATCCGCTCCAACAAGGCCCACGCCTGGCTTCGCAACAAACTGAGGGCGGAGGACACGGTGCCAGATGACCTCTTGGAGCAGGTGTACACACAGCGCCTCCTGGTCGCTGAGCTCGTCGCGGAGCTGGAGGAGGCTGAGGAGGACTACCGACGGGCGGTGGCCGAGGCGGCGGCGGGCGGGCGCGCGTCAGCTGAAGGCACAAGGGGCGCAGCTGAAGCGTCGGCGGCAGCGGCGTCAACGGTCTCTTCGGGAACGGAGGCCGCCAGGGGTGCTAAGGAGGCATCGTCGGGGTGGCACGCTGAGGGGGATCTTGAAGAATGGTGCTCCTCACTCGGCTTCGAGACGCACTCATCGTAAGGTTCGCTTCAGCTACTGTGACGCGGCGATGGCTGGTCCCCCGCCATCGCCAATACGTGCGTCGTCGACTCGTTCGGGATCTGCGTCGCGATCGGCCTCCTCATGCTCCACTTCAGGGATCACAACGTCGACTTCGCCGCGGCACTCCACGAGGACGGCTGGTCCGCCACCAATATGATTGGGGCCGTCTTCTGGGGGAACTGCGGCCAGCAGCTCCCAAGTGAACCTTCGCGCTGTCTTCGCAACTGCCAGTCATGCAAGTCACCCAGGGGCCCCAAATGTCACAAGTAGGGCTGGTGCTTCTGACTTTTTCGAGGCCCCCCCAGAGCCGCCCAGCCCCGAAGACCTTGGACTCGTCGTTGAGATTTGCAACGCCTCGCGCTGGAACTCGTTCAAGGACTGGCTGAGCAAGTCGGCCGCTCACGTCATGTCCCCAAGAGCACTACATCGTCAGGCCCTCTGCTATCAAGGAAGCCACATCTTGGCGTCCTCGCCACGATTGGAAAGCGATTATGTCGCCTGCTGTTGCTGGCCATGGAGAAGGTTCCTCCAGGGTGGGCGTACTCGCGAGGGATTCCTTGGGCCTGCACGAGCCTCCATGGAGCTCGGCGCTTACTGAGGGGAGGTTGATCAACGCGTTGGTTCATCTCCCCGGGGATTCGCCAAGTTTAATCCTGTCGGCCTAATTACGTGTCATAACGGTGAAGGGATGTCAGGAACCTTGACATTCTCGGTACAACTGGGGCCACTGCATAGACGTCGGGGCATCAGGCGATTCGGTGGCGATTGGAACCTGTCTCCCGAGTTGCTCTGGGAGTCTGGGCTCCCCGAAAAGTTGGAAGGATCTCTGATTAGGCCGTCTGGTTCGGGTACACGCCGTTCGCTCGGAGGTCCTAGCTTCCTGGACTACTTTGTGCGCACGGGGGGGCTTGGCCAAGAGGGCGCGGGAGACCAGCGTCGTTCAAGTTGCGCGGCCCACGCCCCACAAGCAAGTGATCCCTCCATGTGTTCCTCGGCTGTCGCAGTTCTGCGCGCTGTCCTTCCACAAGCCTCCGCCGATTCCGACGGAGAAGCCCACTGGCGCCGCCAGGTGTCCGCCGCGTGGGGAGCACAGGCTGCCTGGGAACGGCGCTAGCCGGTCCTGTCTCAGAGGCTCAGGCACTGCTCGACTGGGCGCACGGGGAGCCGGCCGGCACAGCCAGACAGGTGCTCCGTGACGTCGGTCAAACGACGCTGCCCTGCTGCGGAGCCCGCGGTAAGTCACCGCAGCTGCAGTGGGTCCCGACCCTGGAGGACGAGGGCCCCTCCACGTCGGCACCCTAAGCTGTTCGCGGGGAGGTGGTTGACCCATCGGCTCCAGGACCTGGTGATCGAGGTGCGCGAGGACTCGTCGGAGGCTTCGAGCACCCGAAGGCTCCTCCTGGGCCCACCGTCGTCCGTCGAGAAGATTTCGGAAATTGGATTCTTGGAGCTCTTGAGGACGGTTCAGACTGCGGTCTGAGCGTGACCTAGCAAGCCTGTTCCTGTAGGCCGCCGACGACTTGCTGAGTCTGTGCCGGCCCTATGTTACCGAGCTCCAGAATGAAGCACGCCGCAAAGGTGAGGCTGGGTGGAAAGATTGGGTTCTCACGAAAATCAAAGAGAGTGGCAAGAACGCTCACCTGGCTTCCAAGGAGGCCCCTGGATAGAAACCCACCACGACCCTGTCGGCGGGGCCCTTGTGGTGGCCCCCACTTTTGGCTCGGGGAGCTTTTCAAAACCGCCTCCCGCTGTGGAGGCCGGGAAAGGCGGCAGTCGGATACTTCCAACGCCATCAAGAATCAGAAATCGGGAGGAGGAGAAGGAGGAGGAGGCGGAAGGAGGGGGGAGGAGGACGAGGAGGAGGAGGAGGAGGAGGCAAGAAGAAGAGGAGGAAGGAGGAGGAGGAGGAGAAGGGGGGAAGATGAGGAGGAGGAGGAGGAGGAGGACCAGTGTAAACCCAAGAGTCATCGAAGATGTTGGAATAAACTCTCCCTCCAAACTCCCTCTTCATTGGCCCCACAACGGTTCATTTCTATTGATGGAACTGCCTCGTTGGAAGACACCCTTTTGAAGACCCTGGAGCATGCTAAAACACTGTGTTCGGGATTCCAACACCACAAATGAACCTGACTGCTGCGTCTTGGCGATCATGAATCGTGCCGGAACGCCATTCCCAGGACTTCAACACAGCGAACCAACGTAAGTGTTGCACCCGCATGATCCTGAATCCTTCCGAAACACCATTTCTGGTACGTTGATCGTGGGAACCCGTGAAACTCTTGCAAATGTTAAAAACGAATGCGCGCGGCGCTAAGGCGAGAGCCACATTTTGAACAGGAACCACCCTCAATCCGTGAAACTCTTGTAATTTGTTTAAACGAATGCGCGCAGCGCTAAGGCGAGAACCACATGTTGAAAACGATTCGCCCTCAATCCGTGAAACTCTTGCAATTTGTTTAAACGACTGGAAAGCCACATTGTTTAAACCACTCGCCCTCAATCCGTGAAACTCTTGTGCGCGGCGCTAGTGCGAGAGCCACATGTTGAAGAGGAGCCACCCTCAATCCGTGAAACTCTAACAAAAATTGTTTAACGAATGTGCGCCGCGCTGAGGCGAGAGCTACATTTTGAAAACGGCCCGCCCTTAATCCGTGAAACTCTTGTAATTTGTTTAAACGAATGTGCGCGGCGCTAAGGCGAGAGCCACATGTTGAAAACGGCCCGCCCTCAATCCGTGAGACTGTTGCCACCGTTTAGGCTTCAGAGTCACACATGGCCCGCCCTGAAAACTGGCCTCGGGGTGCGACAGGGAGAAGTTATGTATAAGGAAAAAGGAAAACGAGGAGGAAAACGAGGAGCAGGAAGAGGAGGAAAACGAGGAGGCCGACCCGCCGTCGGCCGCCGAAGCCGCGGCGGCCTGGGGCGGCAGCCTCCCGGCGGGCCGTCGGCGGGCCCTCGCGGGCCTTCGCGGGCCATATCGGCGGCCTCCGCGGGCCTTCGCGGGCCGCATCGGCGGCCTGCGGCCTGTGGCGGCAGCCGCTTCCAAAAGGCGGCTGCCAGGCCCTGCCAGTGCTGCCGTGGACTCGGACGATCCCAGCGGCCATCCTCTCCTGTCCTCCTCCTCCTCCTCCTCCTCCTCCTCCTCCTCCTCCTCCTCCTCCTCCTCCTCCTCCTCCGCATATTCCTCCTGCGAATACCTCTTGGGGGTCTTCTTTGGGTCGACTTCGGGGGTGGGGCCGTTCGGCCGCCCTCCTGACCGATGTGGGCCCGCTGCCTAGGCCAGCAGGGGCTTCAGGAGCCCCGGAAAGCACAGGGGGCCCCCTCGAGCCAGCACGGGAGAGGGAGGAGGAGAGGGGAGGGAGAGTGGGGAGAGAGGGCGAGGGGCAGGCTGGGCGCGCGCGCCACACCCGACATCCCATCCCTCCCGTCCACCCCCTCCCACTGCGCTGACTTTGGCTGTATCCTCGGACGGGTGTCACAGCGGACATGGGGCCCCAGAAAGGATCCCATGCTGCGATGCGCAACCAGACAGGGGAGCCGTGCACATGGGACGAGGAGGAGGAGCAGGTGGATAAGCAGGAGGATGAGCAGGAGTAAGGGAAGGAGGAGGAGGAGGAGGAGGAGGAGGAGGAGGAGGAACAGCAGCAGCAGAAGCAGGATCACGAGAAGCGGGAGGCGACAGGAGGGGAAAAGGTGGGGGCGACAACGACGAGGAAGGACTCGGATCAGAAGTGTGGTCCGCGCCGGGGCCAGAGCGCCACTCTGAACGAGGGCCAAAGCGAGGCCGACGGTGCAGCGTCAGCACCAGTCGCAGCTTGAACATCAAAGAGATCCGACCAAAGGTCCACACGCGCAGCCAGGTGTTGCAGTCCCCTGCGTAAAAAAGGAGGAACGCGGAGGATTCGCACTGGCTGGCCATAAGAGGGGGAGGAGTGAGGGGGAGGAGAGGAGAGGAGGGGAGGGGAGGGGAGGGGAGGGAGGAGGAGGGAGGGGAGGAGAGGTGGGAGAGGGGAGGGGAGGGAGGAGGAGGGAGGGGGGAGGAGGGAGAGAGGGGTGGGAGTGTTGGGGGGGAATCACTGCGACGCCATGAGATAGAAAAGGTGCTCGTTGGCCAGCCTCGCTCGACGACGGCCAGGGCACCCGTGCGCACGCCTGAGCCTCGAGCATCAGAGGTTTGAGCCAAAATGGAGAGAGGGGGGCAGGAAGGGGACGTCTAGACGGCCAGTCACCGACGCTGGTCTCCTCGTTCATGACGTCGAACCCCGACTCCCTCGAGAGCCGAATCTCCATCGTGGCGATGAGGTCCTGCCAGGGGGAAACATGACCAGAGTTTCGCTGCCTCACCTCCCACCCACCCCACGCCGCTTCCTCCCTCCCACCCCCTTCCTCCCTTCTTCCATCGGGCTAGGGGAGGCTCGGGCTAGCAGTCGGGGCCGAGCGGGTCAGAGACCAGAGGGGGGAGGGGGGGGGAGTCGGAGCCAGGGGGAGAGGGGGCCAGGGCCAGAGGTAGACGAGAGCCCAGGAGGGGCCAGGGCGGAAGTTATTTCCCATCGGAGAGGCCGAGACGTGAGGGCAATGTAAGGGGGAGGGTCGGGGCGGGCGGGGAGGGGTCGAGGAGAATACATGTTTCTCTTGGTCCCCCCGTCTTGTTGAATACACCCATGTGCCCCCAGGCAAGACATGGAGCATCCCGAGGTCGAAGACGTCCCTTCAATGTGCACAGAATTCCTTGCACTGAAGATCTGGAAGTGTCTAAGGCACCGCAAATCGCTGGTTAGCCGGAGTACGTCGGGGTCTCTCGAAGCTGATCGCAAAACTGGCCTCGCCCGCAGCATCTCGGAGCCCTAAATTGCAAGGATATTTCAAGCCAAACGGGCCACACACCCTTGCGCACAGCTTCTCAGAGCTCAGATTTGAAAGAATCTCTCAAGCGAAATGAGCTGGACCACCTCTCGTGCAGCATCTTGGAGCTGAGGGGTGCGTCTCAAGCGAAACGCGCCAGACCACCTGGCGCACGGCAGCTCGGAGCTCAGAGGATGTCTTAAGCGAAACGGGCCGGACCACCTCGCGCGCGGCATCTCGGGGCTGAAAGTTTCAAGGATGTCGCAAGCGAAATGGGCCGGATCACCTCCCGCACGGCATCCCGAAGCCCGGATTGCCACCTCTCGCACGGCATCTCGGGGCTCAGAGTTTCGAGAATGTCTCAGGCGAAAAGGCCCGGACCACCTCGCGCGCGGCGTCGCGGAGCCCAGATCTTCGAGTATGTCTGAAGCGAAACAGCCTAGACCACCTCTCGCACGGCACCTCGGTCGAGAATGTCTCAGGCGAAACGGACCGGACCACTCCGCGCACGGCGTCGCGGAGCCCAAATTTTTGAGGATGTTTGAAGCGAAACAGCCTAGACCACCTCACGCACGGCATCTCGGGGCTCAGAAATTCGAGAATGTCTCAGGCGAGACGGCCCGGACCACCTCGCGCGCGGCGTCGCGAAGCCCAGATTTTCGAGGATGACTGAGGCGAAACAGCCTAGACCACCTCTCGCGCGGCATCTCGGGGCTCAGAAATTCGAGAATGTCTCAGGCGAAACGGCCCGGACCACCTCGCGCGAGGCGGCCCGGAGCCGAGATTTCCAAAGATGTCTCAGGCGAAACGGCCAATCCCTGACAACTCAGAAACGAGAGTTGTGAGGATGTCTCGGGCGAAACGGCCTGGACCACCAGATGTTTCCAAGAATGTCTCTGCTCCCCTTTCCCTCGGCCAGAGGTCGCTACTACCACAACAGCACGCCGTTCAGCAAGATGTTTGGGGAACAAGACGCCCCAAGACTGCACCAGCATGGCTGAAAAATACCTCACGGCGAGCCCAAGACGGCTCAACGACTCTCAGAGACCCCACGAGCCCCAAAAGAGATTTCAAGATGCGCCCGTGGAGCTCTCGGGTAAGCGTCTGATAGGCAACAAATGTGGAAGCACCTGGGCGTACTAAATGCTCAACCCCCATCTGCCCACGATGGCATCAAGAAAGCCGTCCTGGAGCCCCAAGACAGCCCCAGCGGGCCCCAAGAAGCCCCTAAGACGGCCTGAGAATCCCCAAGACACGCCCAAGAAGACTCCAAGGAGGCCCAAGAATCCCCAACGGGCCCCCATGAGGGCCTCCAGAAACCCGTGAGGAGGCCCCAGCAGGCCTCCAACAGGCTCCGAAGAGGCTCCAAAAAGGCCTCGAAAAAGTCTTCAAGAAGGCATAATAGCCAACGCAACAATCATCTGAAGGTACAACCACGCCCCGCTATAGCATCGTAGCGCTGCTTCCCAAACGGCCAAACGAACATTATAGTAAGCGTGTTCGCGAGAGATTGGCTGAGCCACCCTGCAATGCTGCGCTGGCACTGTGGCGGGGCTCGACGCGGGCAGCTGGACTTGGCCTCGGCGCCCCTTCGACCTCAGATGTGCCTGAGGAGCCTTCAGTTAAAGGACCACGAGAGAGAGACCCAGTAGAATCCCAAAAGGCGCGGCCGCAAGATTAGCCTCCCCCTGCTGACCCTTGGCCTGCCTGCGCGAGTGCCCCGGTAGATCGATCAGGTGCGCAGGAGGGTGCGAGGGAGAGGGGAGCACGACGCCAACACATTGAGCGTTCCAGCTTCGCGCTCTCAAGAACGGCATCGCGGAAAGCCCGCCCCCGGATCAGCGCGGCCCTCCCAACCTGGGTGAGGTCGCTCAGTCAAGCAGAATGCCACATCCATGGGGGGGTGCACATTGGACGACCGCCGACGTGTAACGACGGACTCGCTGTCTTCGCTACTTGTTTCTCCTCCGTAGCCACATCCACATGTTTCGATGCTGCCATTGTTAGCTCGCGCGCGTGCCTTTCGCATCACGAGACGAGTGAAAAGCGATCGCGAAGCAGATCCGCAACCCACTCGATAGGGGTGAAGGCCGCTGCTGCACTGTGCAGCGCTGTACCGCCCAGGCCGAAGCAGCGGCCCACAAGCACTGTCGCAGCACACTCATTGGATTGCGTACTTGCCACCTCCGTCCCTCGCCAACTCGGCGATCCACTGCCTCACACCTCACCATCACCAGTTCATCCTGTCCTCCGCTGCTGGAAGGGACGGCAGCACCAACGGTCCTCGTCGTCCAGGCACGCGTCCTCCTCCATCCAGGAGGAGTCGTCGGCCGACGCGCCGCTGTCGCTGCAGCTGTCGCTGCAACCCCACCGGCGCTGCCCCTGCACCTGCTGAGGACGGGCTGGGCATGCGGAGGATCGATGGGGAACAAAGCGAAGTAGCGGTGGTGGCCAAAGGGATGCCAGAAGGGGGGAGGGTTGCAATGCACTGGCGAGGGTAACAAAAAAAAAGACAGAGAGAGAGAGAGAGAGAGACGCGGCCCTGCGTCACTATAACGAGCAGCGCGACTGCAGGACACCGATTTTCCATAGGTTTTCGAGGGATTTTGACATTTGCTTCGTTTCGGCCTTCCGACGGCCCGATACGGCCCAAGAGCCCCCAAAGATCGCCCAAGGATCGCCCAAAAAGCCTCCAAGATGGCCCCAGAACGGCCCAAGAGGCCCCAAGACGGCCCCAAGAGGCCCCCAAGACGGCCCAGGAGGCTTTTAAGACGCCCAAGATGGCCTCCAAGACGGCCCTGGAGCATTCCAAGAAGGCCCCAAGTAGGCTCAGAGAGGCCCCCAAAACGGCTTCCGACGGCGTCGGACCCCACCAAGACGGCCGAAGATGGCACTAAGATGGCCCAAGACGGCCCAAGAGGCCTGCAAGAGGGCCTCCAGGAAGGCCCGAAAGGGCCAAAATCATTGATTTCCCATGAGTTTTTAAAGGATTGTGGCATTTGCTTTTTGTTCGGCCTTCCGACGGCCCGAGACGGCCCCAATGCCCCCAAAGATCGCCCAAGAGGCCTCAGACGGCCCCAAGAGGCCCCCAAGACGGCCGAAGAGGCCTCCAAGACGCTCAAGATGGTCTCCAAGGCGGCCCAAGAGTCCTCCAAGACGTCCTCCAAGAAGGCCCGAAAGGGCCAAAATGGCCTCCAGGCGTCCAAGATGACCTTCAAGATGCCCACGTGTTCCCTGAAGGCTTTCCAAGCCGATTTGGGGAACACATGGTCCGATAGCTTGGCAGGTCTGGCCTCAACGTTCGACCACATAGGCGCTTCCACAAAGGCAGGGGGCAGCGGTGACTCGCCGTAGGCGTCTTCGATAACGAGCAGCGCGACTGCAGAAGACGAAGGCCGCGAGCCCAGGCTGCCCGCCGGCGGGGCTGAGCTGGGAGGCCGCAGGCGAGGGGCCGCAGCTGGGAGCGGCGCCGCAGCAGGACGCCGCCGTGGCGGGGGCGCGGCCCGCCCGCTGCAGGGGCCACGTCGGCGGGCGCGGGGGGGAGACCGCGTGGGATCCGAGTGCCCGTCGACCTCAGGCGGCCGGGTGCTGGTGGCGTTGGGCGGCTGCGGAGTGAAGCAAAAGTCGAGCGCGCGGGGGGCGCGAGCTGAAATCTGGGAGAGTGCGCCTGAACGGTCAGCAGCGAGGCGTTGTCTTCGCGGCGTGCCTACGCAGCGTCGGCAGCGCAGCGTCAGCAGTGCACTGACAACAGCGCAGATTCTACAGCGCAGAGCCAACTGTGCAGTTTCAAGAATGCACTGTCGAAGCACTGTGCTGTTGGCGTTGCGCTGTGCACACAGCTGAGGGCTAGCATCCTGCTCCTTCTACTCTCTCTCTCTCTCTCTCTCTCCCTGCTCCTGCACCGCAGTGTCGACAGCGCAATGTCAACAGCGCAGTGTCAACAGAGCCGTGTCAACAGCTGCGCTGTGGACACAGCTCAGGATAAGCCTCCTCCTTCTGGTCTTCTCGTTTCTCTTCCTGCGCAGCGCATTTTCAGAAGAGCAGTGTCAACAACGCAGTGTCGAAACACGGCGCTGTTGACACTGCGTTGTGGACGCAGCTCAGGGTTGGCTTCCTCATTATTTTCCTCTCGTCCCTCTCTTCCTGCGCAGCACAATATAAACAGCGCAGTGTTAGCAACGCAGTGTCGAACCACTCCACTGTTGGCACTGCGCTGTGGACACAGCTCAGAATGAGCATCCTCCTCATCATCATCATCATCATCATCATCATCATCATCATCATCATCATCATCATCATCATCATCATCATCATCATCATCATCATCTTCCTCCTCCCCCTCCTCCTCCTCCTCCTCCTCCTTTTCTTTCTTCCTGCACAGCGCAGTGTCGAAAGCGCAGTGTCAACAAGACGGTGTCAACAGAGCAGCGCCAACAGCGCAGTGTCTTTAGCGCAGTGTCGACAGAGCAGTGTCAACAAAGCAGCGCCAACAGCGCAGTGTACACTGCGCTGTAGACATAGCTCAGGGTTAGCCTCCTCCTCCTCAATCTCTTCCTCCTCCTCTCTGCCCTCCCCTCCTGCACAGCAAACTTGGTATCCAGGCTCGAGAGACGCAGTGGCAGCTCAACAAGGGTGCGAGATTTCCCATGCCAGCCAGACGCAGTGGCCACGGTATACTGAAGCATCGATACCGCATACGCGTCAACCTGGATGCGCGAGGTAGATGCTCGAAGTGGCACCGCCACACGCGTAGCCGAATCGATTCTCAAGGTTAGTGGGCCCGACGAAGACGAAGACACGCATCCCTGGGGCCGTCTCAAGCCTGCGCCGTGCACTTGGAATACTTGCTATTTTGAGCGTCCCGACTGCACTGTTGTTTACGCCTGCTGCAAGTCCTCCTCCGAACCCGAAATCGTGATCACATTAGTCCCAATCGCGACGCCCTTTTCGCGCACGAGGCTCAATATCGTTTGCTCACGTGTATCCACCCACCGACAGCCGAAGTCGGCGGTCGACATCTTCCCTCAACTCCTCAGGGGCAATCAACTGGCCTGGCCGGAGCGGCCTGTTGCCATCCGCGCTGCCACGAGGGCAAGCGCCTTCGATTCGAGCGATCAAGAAGCCCGTGAAACAGAGCAGCGCCATCGAAGCCCACACGTCCCACTGCGCCTATGGAAATGAGTCCACTTTCGCCCTGAGCCTGCCTGGGCACGACAGCTCCTGCAGCGGCTCCGCCACGCACCGCTCCCCGAGCGCCCACTCTGAATCAAGCGAGGGGCCGGTGCGCTCGGCCCACTCAGATTGCGGCAGTGTCCCGAGCATGCACATGTAGCTGCCGCTGCGTGGCCGCCAGCTGGGCAGACACCCTGCCACCAAGCAGATGGGCCCAATGTAGACGGAGGCCGTAACAGGCAGGATCGGCAATGTCAGAAGAACATCCTCGAGTTTCTCAGCTGCCGACTCTCTCACATGCACAACGTTGACCTCGTTCCGTGCCGAGCTGTCTGGTGTGACGTGTCTGCTCTGGGAAATCAACGCCAAACTTGACTAGGCAACCCGCACTGCCCCAGGCGCTTGAATGGGTCCAGGCTGCGGAGACTGAGCTTGGGCATAGAGCCCCTACACAATGACCCAACTCGTGACGCAGGGGTTCCAGAGCTCTTAACCTCCTCATCCTCCTCCCTTTTCCTTCAGTCGCGTCCAGACTACGGTCCACCTACGGGTTCGCCAGCAGGCTGGCAAACGCTAAAAATAGTGTAAGATAAAAGTGATTCACTTCTCCTCCTCATCCACCTCTTTCTCCTTATCCCTCCTCCTCTGGCCTTGGGAAGGCGCACGCTGAGGATGCCGACCTTGGACGCCTTGCCGTACGGCCGACCTAGCCGTCGGAACGCCCCCAGCAGCTGCCCGCGAGTAAAGGAGGCGCTGGCGCGTCGCTTCTGCACGGCGTCTTTGCCTGAGGGGGTCATTTCGCCAGCCCCCTGCCTCCATCCGCCCCTGTCCTGTCCCCTCCTTCCTGGGGCATTAGGCGAACAGCCAATTCTGAGGTATGCATGGGTATGGCCTGAAAGCCTCAAAGCCTGGCCAGCCGGCGAAGCGCCCAAGACGCAGAGATCGAAGACAGGCTAACAGACGAAACACAGAAATACAGAGGAAGATGAGGAGAATGAAGAGGGGAAGAATGAGGAACGGCAAGAATACGAGGAGAATGAGGAGGTGGAAAGTGGGAAGGTGGTAAATCCGATTCTCGGATGGCGATCGACAGCTTGCTCCAGCTCCTCTAGCCGTCGTTGGTGCACCGAGACTGCGCATCGATGCGGCGCCGCTTCCCAGGCCCGAGCTCGCGCCCGCACCAGCTCCAAGAGCGAAGGAGAGCCGATGAAACTCGAGCCCGGAACAGTCATGACAGACTTCCAAGAGATCGGAAGCCACAGACCCCCTCGCATCGTGGAAAAAAAACAGGGCGGGAGATTTGATCATAGTTTCGGCCTCTGGGGGCCCGCCCTGGTCCCCGGGACCATCAAAGAACGACTCAGGATGAAAAACCTCCAGGGGCCCTCGCCGGGCCCCGGGGCATGGGGTCGAGACCTCCAGGGATCCGCATTGCGAAAAAAACACAACGTCGGATTGTCTGAGAAGGTTGCACACGCTGCTGAAATCCGCTGGACCAACGGTCCAAAACCTGGGCGACGCCGATCAATCGGCTGGACCTCGACGTGGATCCGTGACGGAGGCACGACTAGTCAGCTCCCGACCGCACTGCACAACAGTCGCAGCAAGCGATCGCACAGCTCGCGCTCGCCCCTCCGAGACTGAATGGTCCGTCGCCACGCTTGCGCGCACTCCGTCCACGTCATGGCTCGGGCTCGCCTGTCAGGCCATCGATCGGTAGATCAGGCTTTGGCGAGACCCCACACGAAGGCGCACATGCAATATCTGGCTCAAGTGCGCTCGATTTGAAGCTGGCGTTGCCTGATTCTAACCGCACGGCGCTGGCTCCATCGATACTGCGGCAAGTTATACCAGCTTCGCACAGAAGCACTCTAAATCGCTGGGGCGGTGCCTGGCGAATTTTCGCTAAGGGCGGCGTAATTGGTAGACTCACCAAAACCCTGGCGGCGCCATGTACTCCATCGAACTCGAAGACATGAGGACACCCACCTTACAAGAACTGTCGTCAGCGGGCACGTTGCGAACCAGCGGGTCTTCTCGGCAAATCGCCTCATCCACCAATCCCTCTGGGCGCAGATGGTTTGAAGTGCAAGCTCTTCCAAACCCATGATACCTCTTCGGGGATGAGTGTGCCCCGCTCTCATACCCCACGCCGCAAGACTTCCCCCCCCCGCCTGGCCACGACTTTGAAGCACTTTGAGGAACGATAGAGGGCGCACTGTGCGCAGCGTTATAGATCCAAGGACGCTGTTCGCGTCGCCCGTACGGGGGTGCATGATGCCCGTGCTCCTCCCTCTCTTGCATTGCGGCTTAATTCGCAGAATGTTTGACCTACACATGCCCTATGCGCCAGCACAGTCACGCTGCCTAGCCGCCGACGCAAAAAAGGGTGTCTTTCTGCCAACTCGACGGTGGCGTGCGCACCCTCGTCTCGTCGGACGGGCAGCGATGCGGGGTCCCACAACCCCCTGCTGAGATTGAGGTTTGGGGGGACGTGGCGAACGACGTCACTCCCCACCTCAACCAATACCTGCTCTGGGTTTCTGAAGAAGCGTCTGCTGGTACCCCCCCTCGGGGGTCAACCTCGCCTCGTCGTCGCGCCGCGACGGGGGTCGGAGCGCCTTCGGCACGCGGTGGCTGCCCACGACGGGGGTCGATGTGGGGCTGTCGGCGAGGGTGACGCCCCCCCCCCCGACGCTTATTCACAAACCCAGAGTATGCAGGGATAGTGTAGTTATACAGATGGGGGCTGGCGCGAGGGCCTTCTGCATCCAGGAATGTGGCGGGGCACCAAGACTCGACGATAGGTGGTTCATGCATGGTTGCGCGCACGGCCATGTACTCACGTACACATACCGTTTTGAGTTATTGTTTGGGAGGCTCTTGCGCTAGACTTTCGCTACGACGGCTAATTGTTTGGCGATCTAGATCCATGCGTCGTTGACTTGCCTGGGCTTATCGCCCTGCATCGTGAACGAGCTGGTCGCTTTGATCGGAGACGTGCACTTGCACCTCAAGCTGCGGTTCCCACTTCACTTGACGACGTGTCTTTCGTTAAAGACCGATTGCGCCAGGACCTACAAGCAAGGACGCTTAGCCCGAGCACGGCAGCTCAGATCAAAGCCGTTTAACGTGTGATATTTCTGATTGTGTCTTTTCGTCGAGATGCTCATCCTCGGGCACCCGCTTCACTTCATTCGATCGGCATGGCACCGGGTTTGCTTACACGACATCATGTTTACCCACGGAGTGTTCGCCTTAAGGCTCGAGGGCAGAGTCACTTTCAGACGTCCTGGGGCGAGATTTGCAGACGTGGCCCTCGAGGCTGCAAGATCGCGCTCAGACCCGTCGTGCCCGACCACGCAGGTTGCCATCCAGCTGGTGGCGCGAGGTGCTTCACAGGCATTGCAGACGCACGCAAACAGCACCCTTGACGAAGCCATTCGCGATGTTACGGCGGACCTAGTGCAAAGACAGCTTGCGCTGTTCATTCAGCGGTGAGGTATGATTTTGCAGTGAGCCAATGTCCCTCCCATGTCGCTCTTCTGACTGCCTGCTGCCATTACGGCCCCAGTGAGCCTGGCCACCAGCAGGGCGGAGCGTGTGCCCACGCAGCACGTGTTCAAAACACAATGCGCTCCAGCATGGGCCAAGCAGTCGTCGAGAAATTTGCATTATATAATGTTCAATTTCGTCATGACAGCTGTACACTGTACAGCATCTCGCATACACAATCGGGACCCCTTGAAACCTCCAGGGGAGCCTCTCGGGAGCCCTGGGGGTTCCGCGGAGCCATGTTGCCGCCAGCCACGGCGTACCTCGACGTCCAGGTCGCGAGTTCACGAGCTCTGCGTGGGTGGATGGGTGGTTGTGGGCGACCAAGTGGACGCGGGTGCGCACGCGCGAACGTGCGTGCGCGTGTCATTTTTTCGGCACGCGTGCGTGCGTCGGTGGGTGTGCGGGGGCGAATGACTCTGTAGGTGTCGTGCGTGCGTGTAGGGGGGCATGTCAATCCGTAGGCACGCATCTGCGTGCGTGGCAACTCTTACGCCCGACTGGGAGATTCCATTTGGGATGGGCTGGTGGGGATAGACGAACCGTCAAGAATCATTCTGAACCGCTAGCGGTTCGCTGATGACGCACATGTGCATTCCTTTCTTCTCGACGTTGTAGCGCGCGCTGTATTTTTGGCAGGGGGTCCTCTTGTCGCGCTGGTCTCATCGGCTGCTCGCGACCAAGTCTGCACAGTGCTTGAAGCATCTCGGTGTTGGGTGCGCTCTGGGAATGGAGGTGATGATAACATCCCACCTGGAACCCCAGCTAGACGACGGCCAAGGCAGCCGAAAGGCTACAGAGCCGCCCAGAGACAAGGATGGGTTGCCAGGTGGGATGTTGGAAGACGCCTGTTACGATCAATGTCCATTAAATGGGTGGGATTAGCAGACCCGATTTGCTGCGAGACCTGAGTTGGACGCTCGTTCTGGGGACCACCTTCCTGGAGCCGTTTGCTCCACTCGTACGTCGATGCTGCGTCGAACGTCCGTCGACTTGAGTCGAACTTGACCCGAACCTGCGCCGAACCTGAGTAAATGTTTGAGCCGAACCCAAATCGAATCTGCGTCGAACTGGAGTCGTCAGGCGGGCTCCAGGAGTGCCCCCGAAACGAGCATCTAACCCGAGGGGCACCCACCGGCAGGATCTCGGACCTGCGGCGCCGGCCGCCACAAGATTTCGACCGCCGTGGCCTTTCTTGGCGGCGTCCTGGCTCTCCAGCTGCTCCACCGTCGCCGAGGCGGTCCTCGGGCGCTCCCCCCGTCGCTGGCACAGGCTCTTCGGGCCCGGCCGCTTGTGCAGAAGTGGACGACTGCTGCGCACTGCTCGAGGTCATACACTGTCGAGCGGTCGTAGGCGGCGAGCGAGGGAGGGGAAACGTGAGGAGGAGAAGGCCTCCTCAGAGGCGGCGGGGCGTCTCAGGCCTCCTGAAAGATTTGTTGCGTGATTCGGGAAGGCTCAGAAGACTTCTCAGAAGGCTGGAGGACTTCCGAGCCGTCTGAGAAGGCTTTCTCCTTCTCACCCCCCCCCAGGCTCGCCGCCGATACACTGTCGAGCGCACATGTACACGATCGCACGGATTGGCAATTGCACATGGATGCGCTCAGTGCCCCTGCCATCAGCACAAACGGTACGCTTCTGGTGGACGCTCGGACGGGAAGCATGACCAAACAACGGCATCTGCACGTGCTTGCAGTGTAAGGACCCAAAACATTGCAGACAGCAAATGCTCTCACATCCCTCTCATGCCGCAACCTGCAACATCCGCTCATCATGGCAACCTGAACTCAGGGTCCGCTACCAATGGCACATTATTTTGCCGACTCCACAAACTCGGGGTGCTTGGCATGCTGTAATATATTGGGGACCGAGTGCAATCACAGCCTACCTGACAGGCGGGTTAGCGGTCAAGCTGAAGTCCATTGAACCAGTCGGCTGATGTGAGGGCGAATTCTGGGGTGGTCGTCCGGGAGTGGTCCCGGAAGATGCTTTTCCATTCGAAGCTCTCCCCCCTTTTCTTGCGACCACCTCTCCAAGCTCGCCGCACAAGTCGCAAGCGAGTCGAAGGGAACCCCCTCCCTCTGATCTCTTGCGCACCAGGGGTGGCGAGGGGGAGGGCCAGAAGAGGGGTCCAGGGGAAGAGGGGTCTTGGAGGGAAGTCATGCAGGTGCACCTCCCCACCCACCGAGGAGGAGGGGTATGTGGTGATGATGTGGACACAGAGGAAGAGGAGGAGGAGGAGGAGGAGGAGGAGGAGGAGGAGGAGAAGGAGGGAGGAGGAGGAGGAGGAGGAGGAGGAGGAGGAGAAGGAGGAGAAGGAGGAGAGGAGGGAGGAGGAGGAGGAGGAGGAGGAGGAGGAGGAGGAGGAGGAGGAGGGAGGAGGAGGAGGAGGAGGAGGAGGAGGAGGAGGAGGAGGAGGAGGAGGAGGAGGAGGAGGAGGAGGAGGGATGAGGAGGGAGGAGGAGGAGGAGGAGGAGAGAAGGAGGAGGAGGAGGAGGAGGAGGAGGAGGAGGAGGACGAGGAGCCGGAGGCCTCCGTGGAGGTCCCGAGGCCCCAAAAATCCAAAATCAGCGGAATCCCCCAGGTGTCTGTGCGATTTGAGCATTTTCGTCGCATCGGTCGGACGAGCGTCCAAGGCGGTCCCCCAGGACCACCCCAAGGTGGCCCAAGAGCACTGCGGCCCAGAGAAGGGGTCCAAAAAGCACTCCGCTCGCACTCATGGAAGCTACACCTTCGAACGCGATCCTAAAAAGCCATGGAGGTCCGTCAAGAGGCCCCAGAAGGCCCGAAGACTCGCCCAAGTGGGCCACAAAGCCCCCCAGAAGCCTCACAGGAAGCCCCCCAAGAAGCTCCCAAGGTCCACCAAAATGTCCTCAACGCTGCTGGAACACGACCCAGGCGCAGTGGCGGCATCGGTCATTAGATCTTTACCTTCGCATGAAAGCGGTCACCGTCCCTTGCCCGTCCCCCATTGCGCCTCTTGCGCCCAAGCTGTTCACTTCTCAGAGTCGGTGGATATGGTCGGAAGGCTTTTTTCGTGATAGCATTAAGCTTTGCCAGAGCGGGCCAGGTAGGACAGGAGAAAACATAACGCGTTTTTGCGCTCCGACCCCTTCCGATATCAACGCAGGCGACGGCAAGGTGACAAGGCTTCGCATGCTCTGGGAGTGCTGGCCAAAATGCCTTTTCGCGCGGCGACGTTTTTCCAATCTCAACGCGGCAATGGGGGTAGGCATCGCATGCTCTCTGGGAGCGCTGGTGGTGCGACGGTGCCCGCTGCAGATAGGATCAAATTCGCGAAGTCGGATCGGGTCGGGAATGGATCAGATCGCAAGCGAATCGTCCCGAATCGAGTCGAAATCGGATCGCCGCGCATGGCTCCGGCTGGCCCCGGCCGATGCTGGTGGATCGAAGCGAATGGAATCGAATCGGCATCGTGGCCCCAGCCAGTGGATCGAATCGCATCGAATCGGAGCGTAGGCGGCCTTGCTTTCTGCCCGATCGGCCCCAACGGGAGCCGCTGGGGCGCGCCCCTCCTCTTCTCCAACGCCTGCGCGCTGGAGGACTCGGCCTCCAAGACCACGGCAGAGCGCGCCCGTGCCTTGCCACTCCGAGAGTCCACCTCCGGCACGGCAAGAGGGGGGGGGGGGGGGGCAAAGGACCAGCGCGGCGCGCCACGCAGGCCGCACCACAGCTGGGAAACGGGCACCGACTCAGGATCGGAGTGGAAGAGAGAGAGAGAGAGAGAGAGTGCCGGAAAACGTCCCCAGGGTACGGCGCTATGAGAGCCCGGCGGGGGCGCCAGGGCGCCAGGAGACTCAGGCGCTGTGGCTGCCGGAGTATACTTTTTCCGTCGCGGCCGCAAGAGGAAGCGCGGGCGGCTTCCGAAGTCAGCCCGGGCCACGAGCCAAACCTAATTACCTAAGCGCGCGAACTAGCGGCCGCCCAAACTGCCGCCGAGAGACGCCGAGGAGCGACGCCGGGGGCTGAGGCAGAGCTGCAGGAGGTGCCAGGTGTGCCAGGCGGCCGAAGTGCAACCATTCCAGGGGCATTGCCAGAGTATACGCAAAGCGACGCACGCATGCCAGGAAATCTTCTGCATGATCGGAGGTGTGGGGGGGGGGGGGGGCGAGCGGTCTTCCTTCCTCCCTGCGCGCGCGTGGCTGGACGGGAGGGCCCTGCCCCTGGGGGCTGGAGGAGGAGGAGGAGGAAGAGGAGGAGGAGGAGGGAGGGGGGGGAAGGAAGGGAGCTCCAGCAAGCGGTTCTGGACCTCTCAACCAACGACCCAGCCACCGGACGCCACGCCTACGTCGACTGGAGCATCACCTGCGTACACTCAACCTACGCTCTACGCAGGGGTGCCCAGGCCGACAACGATGGTTTGGCGGCCGCCCATGCGGTGGACCAGAAAAGAGAGCGGTACCCCCCGCACGGGGGCGAGCTGGTCCCCCTAGTCTTCGAGACGGGGGGCTGGCCCAGCGACGCAGCAGCCAGCTTCGTCCGCAGCTACGGAGTCGACCTCGCCGACGGCGACCGCTCCGAGCTGCTGGGCGGCCTCTGGCGGCAGATCAGCAGAACCCTCCAAAGGGGTAATGCTGAGATGCTGCTGAGCGCGCTCGGGCGCTAGGACGGCGGCCCCTTGCCACGGCCACCACCAGCTGGACCACCGCCGGCGCGGCAACCACCACGACCGCCACCAGCGCCGCGACCACAACCGCCACCAGCGCGACAACCACTGCCGCCACCACCAGCACCACGACGACGACCCTAAGCACGACAACCGCCACGACCGCCAGCACCACGACCACGACCAGCGCCGGCACGACAACCACCGCGGACACCGCCAGCTAGCACCACGACCACGACCACCACCAGCACGACGGCGCCGCGACCACGACCACCACCGCCACCGACCCGACCGCCCCCGCCCCTGGCCGCCCCTCTCCTTTCCTCTCCCCGGCCCTGCCAGGCCGCCCCTGCTGCCGCACGCGCCTTGCGCCTCCCCCCTTTTCCTCCCCCCCCCCTCCTCCGCCTGCTGCTGACCTTCTTGGTGGCCTCCCGTGGCCTGGGTCAGAGGCGCGCCGCCCGCAGGCGCGGTGAGGCTTTTAATGCACGCCCTGGGACGGCCCTCGCACGCCTAGCCGTGGTGGCCACTCACTGCAAAGGCCAGTGGGTGCCGCGGCTGCGGAGCAAGGGAGGGAGGAGGACGAGGAGGAGGAGGAGGAGGAGGAGGAGGAGGAGGAAGAGGAGGAGGAGGAGGAGGAGGAGGAGGAGGAGGAGGAGAAGGAGGAGGAGGGGGAGGGAGGGAGGGAGGGAGGGAGGGAGGAGGAAGAGGAAGGAGGGAGAGAGGGAGGGAGGAGGACACTTTGGGCCCGCACGGGGGGGTTGCACACGGGGGCTCCAAACGGGGGCTACACACACACACACACACACACGGGGTGGCTGCACACACGGGGGCTACTCCTGCGCTTGGGGGCTGCGCCTGGTGGCTACGCCTGGGGGCTGCACTTTGGGGGCCACAAGTGGGGGCGGTTTCGCTGGCGCCGCCGCTGAACCAGCAATCAAACGACACCACCCCACCTACGGCCCCACGGGGCTTAGCGTATATCAAGAGATCTGGCGTGGGCTTCTGCGTGGTATACGCTGCGGCGCCCGATGGGCCGTAGCGCAACATGGAGGGTCGTAAGTGGGGTGGTGTCGTTTGTTTTTTGGTCGAGCCGTCCTTTCTTCCTCCCCTGCTTCTTTCTCCGCCAGCACGGGGTGTTACTTCTTTGCAAAGCTCTCCCGAAAGTCCCTGAGCCGCTGCTCTCTTGCCCCTTCAAAGAATCGGCGAATCCGCTTCTCGTCGCCCACGCACGGCTCCCATCGAAAATGGGAACCGCCGCAGCAGCGCTTGGACCAAGCGCAAACCACAACTACTGCCCGGGGGGGAAGCAGCGCATGACCGCCTGCAGCTCCAGAGGGGAGGTCCAAGAGGTGAAGGAGGAGACGGAGAAATCCAGGGGAGGGAGCGGAAGGATCAGGAATGAAGTCCCAGGGACTGGCATACCCAGAAGGCAGAGAAGGCGGGCCAGGGCTTCATGTAGATTGTTAGCTGGGACAAGGGCAAGGATTCATCTACCACCTCGATAGCCTCCTCTCGCTCTCCCTTGTGACTACGGTCCAGATACAGGAGGCGATCAGCCACTCGATCCAGACTCGCGACGCCACGACACAGAGACAGTGCGCATATGTGCTGAGGTCTGAACACTCTGCAGTCCTGCGGGGTCCTTGGACGCTCCGGGCGAACTAGACTGTGACCGAAGCTGAAGGACGACAGTTCTTAGACACCGTACTAAGCTAACTTTGCTTCCCAATAAGACTTGAGCTCCTCTCCGCCAGACCTCTCACTTCAAACTGGGCAATCCTTCGAAGCTCACCCCCACCAACCGTTGACAAGAAACATTCGAGACACTTGTCCTCCAGGCGCCGCTCCCCGATTCCTTATCGCAGCGGCTCCCATCGACGGGCGATGAAGGAGAGCAAACACGTTTAGAAGATCAATGTCGCAGGTGGCAAGAAGGATCCTCCATGAAGCGACAGACTTGCGAGATGTAAGCTTTCAATGGGTTGCCACTCGCCAGTGCCGTTGTATGAACCAGATACTGTGTCTCTGAAACAACCATTTGGGGTTCCATACCACATTGGCACAGGTGAAAACACTTCCACACACGTCTGCCAATGGGAACCACAAGCACATAGTTGCTGCATTCTGAATGTGTAAAAAAATGTGGTGTCAGATATGTGGAGAATACTGTACGGTGCAAGCTGCGTGGAGTAGTCGATGTGGTGTAAGCCATGTGGTGCCGATTCTGTAGTGTAAAGCACGCAGGAAACGCAGCCAACGCACGGGACCCCCACGAGGTGCCCACAGTCGCGCACGCAGCGGGCGAGCACCCTGAAGTCCAAGCCAGCGCACGTGGGTGCCCACGAGTCGTCCAAAGCCGGGCGCCAGCCGAAAACTCGGACATCCCCACCAAAGCACGGGGCGCCCACAAGGCGCCCACGACCAGATACCAGCCAGAAGCCTGGAAATCAAGTCAGAAGCCCTAGGCGTAAGCACTGTTTGGAGAACCTGTCGGGATGGTTGCCCACTTGGTGTCGCTGGGTGCCGCGTGGCGCAACGGCCCCAACTCTCGGATCACTTGCCCATGATGTTTTGTGGCGCCATGCCACCAAGAGTCAGAACCCTTGGTACATGGCGCCTTTTTCCCCAACTTTCGTACCCGTTGTTCGTATGTTGCTATCTCGCGTGGGAAGGTGGCATGTGGCGGTTGTTCTGCGCTGCGGCCACACTTTTCGGATCCGCTCCCGCGTGGGGTCCAATGGTGTTTTGCGGCGCGGGACTCCCCATGCACACGTGTGATGCTGCGTGGTTCTGAATAGCGCCGCGTCGCCAACTCTGACATCCGTAACCCTGGTGGTGCCGTGCGGAGCAATGTGGTGCACTAGAATACCATGGGATCCGTCGACAGGGTAGCGTGATGTCATGTCGACCCCGTTGCTCTCGTGTTGCCTTTCGTGGTGCCCCGTGGCCGATACCGTATCCATTGGCCACATGGCACCTTGTCTCGCACGGCGTGCCACATGTTCCTCTCCATGGACGCTTTAGTGGTTAGGTCGTCGACACTCTGAACAAGGATCCTACTGCAACAGCCAAATGGCTGATCCTTTTTTCCCACATGGCACCACACGGTGCCAACTCGACCCCCATACCCGTGGTCCCGTGCTCCCGCGCGGTTCATATTGGATCGGTGACCTGCGTGGCGATGTGAGAACCCGTGTGCTCTTTCGAACCCACTGCCCCCCGAATACCAGGTGCTGCCGTGAGGTGCCGCGTGGTGCCGTGTCGAATCCGTGGCCCATGTGCTGCTGCGCGGGTGGTGCAGGGTCGAGCCCGCCGCTCGTGCGGTGGCGTCTGGTGCCGTCTTGCGCCCTCTGCCCGCGGGGTGCCACCTTGCACACTGTAATGCGTCGTGGTGCCGTGTCGTCCCGCGCAGGATCAACCCGCTGACCGCGTGGTGTCGTGCGGCGTCGCATAGAACCCACTTCACCTGTGGTGCCACCTGGTGCCACGCGGCCAGCCTCGGATCCACTGGCCGCATGGCACAACGGTCTGAGATCACAATGCGAAGCTGGTGCCGTCATTCGGTGTCGTGCGGCCTTCGGGGCCCCCTGCGCTGGATGGAAGGGCGCCCAGCCGTACCCATCTCCCAGATCTGGGCCCCGAGAGCAGAGCAGAGCAGAGCAAAACAATCACGCATGTGGGCACCGACGCGGGTGCAGCAGGTGGGCGCTGGGCGCCGGCACGAGATGAAAACATCTGCGGGGAGGGCTGGCCGCTCAGTGCTTGGAATCGGTGTCGTGGGAGGGCGCAAAAACGGTAAGCAAATGGTCCGAAATGGACTGATGAGAGCCGGAGTCGGAAAAAAGAAATTAGAGTCGGGCATAAATGAGAAGGAGCTATTCGGTGCCGTGTGGTGCCGTGTGATCCCGTGTGGCGCCATGCGGCTTGTCTCGGACCCGCTGCCCGTGTGGTGCCATGTCGTGCCGCGTTGTGTCGCACGGTGCCGTGTCGAAACCGCTGCCCATGTGGTGTTCTCTGTGTGATGGTACGCGGTGCCGTCTGGGCAACATCGAATGCGTTGCCCGTGTGGTGCCGCGCGGTGCAGCACGATGGCATGTGGTGCCACCTGGATGATTTGTGCTGCATGCGACCGCACTCATCCAGTCCACCTTGCGTGCCCGCCGTGCCCGACTTGACCGTCAGATGCTTTTCAAATGCGGCTGGGCCCTATGGCCAAGACCCGCTTGCATGCTTATATCGGATGCGCTGCCCGCATGCTCGAATGTGTTGCCCGCCTGATGCCGTGTTACCGTGTGGCTCTTCTCGGGTCCCTTGCCCGCATGGCGCCGCGTGACGCCACGGGGGCGTCTGACGGTGGTGTCGCGTTGAGCCAGTTGCATGTGTGGTGCCATGTGGCGCTGGGTGACAGTCCAGGATCCGATGCCCGCGTCGTGCAGCGTCTACGTGACAGAGCGCCAGAATTTTCAATCACAGATGCCATGCAGACAGCTCGCGAGATTGCGCTCAGGATATTCGGGGGTGAACGCACAAGGTGGGGTGTCGACTCGGAGGAGACGAGAGGAGTGGAGACTGAGCGATGGGAAAGGGATTGGGTAACGTCTACGGGCGGGGAAAAGTAGGGATAGGAGGATGAGAGAATCAAACGCTGCTTTTGCTACGCCCTCCCCGCTTACGCCCCACAAGTTTAGACCCGGTGAAGTCTGCCGCACTATTGCTGTGGCTGGCGAGGCGTCATCGTGCATGCCTGGTCCATACAACTGTTTCCGCCCTATTGTTTCAACGCTCGGTAATTATACCGCGGCTGCTGGCCTAAGTTCACCCTGGGCGTGATAATTCACCCATGCAGTCGCTCATACAGGCTGCTACCTCTTCCTAGCACCATTCCCCTCGAATGTTCGAATATCGCCCTCGCCACGCCCCGCCACAGCGCCGTGGCTATCTGCGCGGCACAAGGGCAGAGTGAAGGGGGCCCAGCGGTCCTGCACCACCCCTGGGCACGTGGGCAGCTCGAGTGGGCTCCCGTGGCCCGGGCTCTGCCCTTGCCTGCTGTGTCTTGCTCGCTGCTCGTCGCTCGCTGCCTGTTGCTTGGTCGTCGTCGTTCCCCCCCCGCGACCCGCCCCGCGGCCCGCCCCGCGGCCCGCCCCCCTCGCTCCCATCCCCAGAGGCAGGGGCGCCGCGCGTGCCGCCCAGGCGACCGTGCCCCGCACCCCCGCCGAGGCTCCGCGCGCGCCCGGGCATCCCCGCAGGCGGCTGCGCCCCCTCTCCGAGCGGTGTGCGGCGCTGCTGCCCGTGCGGCTGCGCTCCGTCGAGGCTCTGCCTGCCGGCAGTCCAAGCTGGACGGCGAGGAGCGGGTGCTGCTGGAGGTACCCCCTGGCCCAGGGCACCCTCAGGATTCTCTCGAAGTGGCCCAGGCGGCCTGCAGGGCACCCCTCACGAGGCCTGGAGGGCCCCATGGCCCCAGGGGCTCCAGAATGGAGCGAGAAGCTGGGGGGCACCTTGGGCCGGAGACACTTCTAGCAACACCCGAAGGGGGGAACTGTTCGTCTCCTCCCCGGACCTCTGATGCCGTAACAGCTCGCAGAAGTCCTTGGAAGCCCCGACCCCTTCCCTGGGGCACGTTTTTTCATCGCGGATGTTTTGTTGACGGTCCTGGGGCCCAGAAACGCCCCACGGGGGCCGAAATCGAGAAAACGCCGGCGCGCCACAGGAACGCGGCAGCCAACGTCGACGCGCAAGCCAAAACAGACGGCGCGCAGACAGACCGAGACCTGCCCAGACTCTTCGGGGAGGGAAGGAAGAGGAGCCACGGTGCCGCTCCCGCGCCTCCACGTCGTAACGCACCCGCATCCCCACGAACATGTCCCCGCAGCCTGCGCCTGGGCAGCCAAGGCCTTCACTCACTGCCTCGACTCTCCTCGACCTTTCCAAACTCGATGTGTGTGTGTGTGTGTGTCCTCTCGCCCTCCCTCCCCCCTCTTAACCCCCTGTCTCTCCCCATTCACTCTCCCTATCCCCTCTTCTCTCTCTTTCTCTCTCTTTCTCTTTCTCTCTCTCTCTCTCTGTCTATCTCTCTGTGTCTCTCTCTCTCTCTCTTTCTCTCTTTACTTGTCCCTCTCTCTCCCTCTCTCCTCTCTCTCTCTCTCTCTCTCTCGCTCTCTCTCTCTCTCTATCCCACTCTCTCCCTCTTCTCTCTCTCTCTCTCTCTCGCTTTTCCTCTTTTTTTCCCTCTCTCTATCTCTCTCTCGTTCTCTCTCTCTCTCTCTCGCTCTTTATCTCTGTATTTCTATGTATGCTGTTCTTTGTTATATATCTCTCTCTCTTGCCTTCTCTCTCCCTCTATATCTATATATATATGTGTGTAAATGTATACATCAGTACATCTCTCTTCCTTATATACACATATTGAGAGAGATGCAGGTGATCATACATTTTGCCTTGCGTTCGGTGGTTCGTATTTTTCCTCTCGTTCATCGCCACACTCGTTTTCCTTATATAGACTGCTATCATCCTCATTGCTCTCTTCCGCTCCCACCCCTGTCCTCGTATGCTCCATCATTCTGCCGCTCCTGCTACAGATCGCATTACAATAAATAATGAAGGCTTCAGCACAGCTCACAAAACAGCTCCGACTACAGTCCATCTTACAGCCGACAGTACAGCTGTCACTACAGTTCACACTACAGCTCCTACCAAATCTCCTGATATACAGATCCTGCCAATGCGGCTACTGCAGCTCTCCTGCATTTAGCTTTGAACGCTGTGTCAACGTACCTGTCATTTCCGTTCGCGTAACCGGCATTGCACAGCTCCGCGAATCGTTTCGTGCCCAGGCTGGTACGTCACGTCAAAACCTGGGTCAGTCGTGCCAAGATTAGGCGGGGCCGTCGCGGCTGCCGCCGCGGACATCGCAGGGAGGCGACGGCTTCGTGGAGTTTACCGCGCGCACTGGAAGCCGTGGGCGAACCACGGGCTCCGCTACAGGAGCGTTTTTCCATGGAGGCAAGTAGAACTTGAGCCACGCAGCTGCGGCCCACAAGTAACATGTACCACTGGCACTCCTAAATCCGCCGACCCCTTCTGGGTCTCCAAGCGTGTGCCCCCCCCATAATCCCCCCCCCAAGGGACCCCAAACCGGCAATTTGACTCCCCCCCCAGGCCCGGCACGACCCCAGACAATGCGCGCCAGGGAAGGGGTCCAAAATGAGCCATGAAGGCACTTGACGCCTCCCAAGAAGCCGCCAAGACAGTCCACGAGAACCCAAAGCCGACGAAAGATCGTTCCAAGACGCCTAAGATGAGCTCAAAACGGCCCAAGACACCCCACGAAGCCTCCAAGAGGCCTCCCAAGAAGCCCCCAAGAACCCAAAATCTTGAAATTCCCTCGGGGAAACGTACATTTTCAGCATATCCAACTTGTTAGCCTTCACGGTGTTGAAAACCGTCCAGACCCCCACGAGGCCCCCAGGACCACCCCAAGACGGCCCACGAGGCTCCCAGGAGGCCCCAAAGAACTCCAACGTTGCTCAAGAGGCGCCCTAGACGGCCCAAGAGAGAATCCAAGATGGCCCAAAGAAGGGCCCAAGAGAGGGACCACGAACCGCTAATTCCAGCGCTCCGCCCAACGAAGCTCTCCGGAGGACCCAAGAGGCCCCCAAGCGGCCCCTAAAGGCCCCCGTGAGGCATCCATGAGGCCCCAAGGAGCCCCCAAGAGGCCCAAAAGAAGCCCAAAACGGCCCCCAAGACCCTGCGAAACCGCCTCGAAGAGGCCCGCGAGAATCCTCGCCACGAGATCCCAACGGACATCCCAGAGCGTGCCACACACTACCCTGAACGTGACGAATTCTTGCTACTTTTCCTCACCCTTGCTTCGGAATTCTGCCCGAGGCCTCGTGGAATGCAGGCCTGGGGGCGCAATAGTTTATAGCGGGTCGGCGGATGTGGCGAATTAACACCACCTCCTCCTCCTCCTCCTCCTCCTCCGATTCCTCCGCCTCTTCCCTCAGTATCCTCCTCCTCTTCATCCTCCTGCTACTCCACTGGGAGGCCTGAGAGGTCCGTCGTCATCCAAGATGCGGGGCACATCGATATTGCTGCACAGTGCGAAGCCCAGCAAAGCCAGATCCCGGCATGGCAGCTCGGTCGGACGCAACACAAAATCGTAGAAGATGCCAAAAACCAGGGGGGCACCCCCCGTGCAAAACAGCGCCAGGCTTCAGCAGTTGACTGTACAAGGCAAGCTGCGTCAGCGCAAGCCTGAAGACACTGTCTCGACGTATGGAGACGGGGGGGAGTCTGGGGGAGAAGAAAAGGAGGTCGAGGAGGACGACCACAACCTAGAAGTGATATCAATATTGCATTTGGGCGCCTCACCCCGTGGGTGGGAGCAGAGGCCTGGTGTACCACTCGAGTCGAGGACAAGGCAACCATGTCGCAAATCGCTGGGATTGCTGGAGGGCTTCCCGGAAACCCCACCCCAGACCCCCGACGTCCTGATTTTTTCATGACGTCGACCCCCAGCGGTCTCGACACACTCCCCATGGCCGGCTTTTCATCCTGAGTCGTTTTTTGAAGGTCCCAAGGGCCCCCAAAGGCCAAAAATAGTGAAAAACCTGCCGTAGTGATCTTTGTCATGACTCGAGAGGGTCTGGGACTGGCAGAGGAGGACGAGGAAGAGGACGAGAAGAGCTAGGGGGCTGGGGAGCAGGAGCTTTGCTGCCGACGAGGCGGCGCTTGGCCCAGGCCCGGCTGGCCCTGCAGCTCCGAGCAATGCAGGAACACGTCCCCAGTGCCCTCCTCGTCCGGGACAACGAAGCCGAAGCCCTCGAGGGGAGAGGGAGGAAAAGAGGAAGGAAGAAGGGGAGAGGAGGAGGAGAAGGAGGAGGAGGAGGAGGAGGAGGAGGCACCCTCGAGGGGGGGAGGAAGACGAGGAGAAGGAGGAGGAGGAGGAGCAGGAAAAGGAGGAGGAGGAGGAGGAGGAGGAAGAGGAGGATGAGGAGGAAGAGGAGGAGGAGGAGAGGAGGAAGGAAGGAGAGGAGAGAGGAGGAGAAGCAGGAGGAGAAGCCCTCGAGGGGAGGAGGAGGAGGAGGAGGAGGAGGAGGAGGAGGAGGAGGAGAAGGAGCCTCGAAAGGAGGAGGAGCCCTCCTCGAGGGGAAGAGGAGCCCTCGAGGGAGGGGAGCCCTCGAAGGAGGGGGGTCCTCGAGGAGGAGGAGGAGGAGGAGGAGGAGGAGGAGGAGGAAGGAGGTATGGTAATTGGCGGGCAAACGAAAGGGAGAGGGGCCAAAGGTCGAGAGAGGCGGGAGACCCCCGTTCCCAGACCCATTCGAGTCGTGAAAAAATCACGACGGCAAGGTATTCGCTGTGTTCGGCCTCTGGGGGCCCCTACCGGCCCCCTACCGGACCGTTGCTCCCCAGCCTCCTGGCTCTCCTCGTCCTCGTGCGCGTCCTCCCCTGCTAGTCCCAGACCCCCCTCGAGTCATGAAAAATTATGACGGGAGGTTCTTCGCCATTTTCGGCCTTCGGGGGCCCCTGGGACCTTCAAAAACGACTCAGGATGGCTACTCACTGCGTGGAGCTCGCCATATGTGCATCCGCTTCAAAAATTTAATTGCACTTGGGATATCGAAATGAGCGTTTAGCCATATGAGCCATATGTGTATATCATATTGTAGGGTAGTGCGATGGTGAACATATGTCTATGATAGTTTTGCTATAAGAGCGCGTCTACGTGAGCGTTGGGAGAATGAACCTTCTCAAGTTCCCTCTCCCGCTGACGACGACAAGATTGTAAAGCACCACGGAAAGAGAAAGCAACATCCCACGGGGACACAAGCTCTGCGCCAGCAGCACCTGGTCACTCCTCCTTGACCGCCGTACGCAACGGGGAGAGCCACTCGGGACACAACGCAAAACCAGAAGACAGGCAAACCCCTAGAGACATCCCCACAGAACGGCCGCGAACGGGACCGTGTCATACCCCTCGGCGGCTCCCCTTAGGGGTGCTGAAACTAGCGCCCCGCCTGAGACATCCTCACAATCTGCCCTCCAAGCCAAGGATGTTGAGACAGAAAACAAGCAAACCGCTTGAGACGTCCCCACAAAACGGCCGCGAACGGGACCGTGTCATACCCCTCGGCGGCTCCCCTTAGGGGTGCTGAAACCAGCGCCCCGCCTGAGACATCCTCACAATCTGCCCTCCAAGCCAAGGATGTTGAGACAGAAAACAGGCAAACCGCTTGAGACATCCCCACAAAACGGCCGCGAACGGGACCGTGTCATACCCCTCGGCGGCTCCCCTTAGGGGTGCTGAAACCAGCGCCCCGCCTAAGACATCCTCACAATCTGCCCTCCAAGCCAAGGATGTTGAGACAGAAAACAAGCAAACCGCTTGAGACGTCCCCGCAAAACGGCCGCGAACGGGACCGTGTCATACCCCTCGGCGGCTGCCCTTAGGGGTGCTGAAACCAGCGTCCCGCCTGAGACATCCTCACAGTCTGCCCTCAAAGCCGAGGATGTTGAGACAGAAAACAGGCAAACCGCTTGAGACATCCCCACAAAACGGCCGCGAACGGGACCGTGTCATACCCCTCGGCGGCTCCCCTTAGGGGTGCTGAAACCAGCGCCCCGCCTGAGACATCCTCACAATATGCTGTGTGTTGAGTAAGTCAGACAATGAGAAAGTCTGAGTATGAGTAAGTCTGGGTATGAGTGAGTCTCAGCATGAGTAAGTCTGGGTATGAGTATGAGTAGGTCTGAGTATGAGTAGGTCTGAGTATGAGTAATTTAATGCTATCAGGTCTGAGTATGAGTGAGTCTGTGTTTGAGTAAGTCTGTGTATGAGTAAGTCTAGGTATGAGGAGGAGGAGGAGGAGGAGGAGAAGAAGAGGAAGGAGGAGTAGGAGGCGTCCAAATAATAACAAGAACCCCTTAGGATATGGGGAAAAGACGGGTCATGGGGAATGGGTCGAGACCGCTGGGGGTCGACGCCACGAAAAGATCATGACGTCGGGGGTCTGGGTTCAGCGCAGCTCGGTCCAGGAAAGATCGCCGCCAGCTCGGGGGATGTAGCCCCGCCCTTCCTGTGCCCACCTCTTCCCAGAAGCACGGGGCTGCAAGTGCTGACCAATCATGCGAACAGGGCAGCGAGATCTGCCAAGCCCGCCCAACCTGCAAACGTAGGCAGCGCCAAGCGTTGCGTACACGTCGTTCGGGCTTGGCGAAGGTACGGCCGGATGCGGAACGCAAGCCCGTGGACATAGTCGAAAGCACCATGTCTGAAAAGTGAGGCAACAGGACAACAACTGAGAACCCACAGCGATGGGACAATTCGAGCACACAAGCGGAGGCACCACATTTGTTTCCAACTGGGCGGCCAACTTAGAAGAACTCTCGCTCTGTAGAACAGAATTGGCCCAATCGCCCCATCTTCGGATTGCACGTTGACCTTACACGACGTCGGTACGCCAAAATATCCCTCGTGTGCCGACGGATTCAAACGTAATCATGATATGACAGTAGGCATGTCATGCGCATACGAACGCCTAGCGCATGTGCACGTGAATGTGTGCGCGCGTGTGTGTGTGTGTGCATGCCCGCAGCGTTCGCTGCGCGCGTGGCAGCAACGTCAAAAAGGTGATATACGTGTAGGTGCATGCGTGCATGAGCGCTGCATAGCCAAATCCCCTGAGGAACTCCACCTCTTGCCAGCTCTCCCCGCCCCCTCCAGCGATGATACTCAGGATTTGCGTTTGCCAAATGGGTGTGCTTGTCCACCGACACCCTTCAATGCGACGCAGGCGAATTAAGGTCGACACAGGCTGCGTGCTACCTGGTACCCATGGAGCTGAAGAGGGCGCGGACCACCGGGCCCAGGCGAGCAGGTCGGTCGAGCAGCCCAAGGCCACTGGACGGCGAAATCGGCACAGCAAGACAGATGGACAAAAGACGGAACTGGCGGCCGCGGGAGGGGAAGGCGTGCAGCGGCCCAGGCTCAGGCGAGTGGCGCGAGTACGGGTGGTACCGGAAAGGGGTCCGGCAAGCTGGGGCGCACCGAGCGGGGACCGAAGGTGCCGGCACTTGCATTGCCCAGAAGGGGAGGTGCGCGACCCACGGCCAGCAGTGCAAGCGCTGGGTGGGAAGGCCGCCAGGCGGACGCGCGAGGAGGTCCATCGAGCAACCAGGGCGACGACAAAGCTGGACTGCCACCACGGGAGGGCTGCCTGCCAGGACGAGCTGTCGCTGGTGGTCGAAGCGGCCGAGGGCCACAGGGGAGGGCTGCAGGAATAAGGCCCCATTACGGCCTGCCAAGACGGAGGCGTGTGGCGCCGGCCACTGCGCGCACTGCACTGAGGGAGGGGAAGGGATCCATGATCCTCAGAGAGCGTGTTAGCGCCGGCGTGTGCTTGCCCACCGACGCCCTTCAGAGCGAAGAGGATATCGAAACGAGGGCCAGGCCGCGCGCTGCCGACGGAGCCGCAGGGGCAAGCACACGCCTGGCCTAACACACGTCCTGAGGATCATCGGAGGGAGCAAGAAGGGGGGCGGAGGAAAGGGAGAAGCAGGCGGCTTTTAGACGACAAAAAAAAGTGCCCCACAAATGCACAGAAATACAACTCAAAAAATCGTCCCATGACTATTTTTGCCTATTTTTGAATATTCCTCCTCTGGAGGGACAGGCCCGACTTAACCCTAGTCCCTACTGCAGCCCAGCCGCGCCGCCGCGGTGTAGCTGTACCCGAACGGGGCAGCACACCATGGGCTGACACACGTCCTGAGGATCATAGACTCTAGACAAGCGCGTTCAATTACTCGCAAGGTAACTACTCGCAAATGGCCTGGATCCCCCGCGGGGGCTCTATGATAAATTACATCAAAGCAGACATGTGTTTTTCGGACATTTGCGAATAGGCACTTTGCGAGTAGTGGAACGCGCTCGATGAGACTCCACCACCCTCCTCTCCCTGAGGACTAGCCACAACTGGGAGAGCCGCGCTCCTTACAACTCTGGGCGAACCCATCGTATCGACGACCTCTCGGGAGGGGTGCCGAAGCCTGTGCGGGGGGAATGAGCACTGGAGCTCCCCCAATTGCGGCTGGCCAGCCATCACCGTGACACCTCCTGGCCGCTGGCCGGTTGGGCTCGCCAGCCGCTGCAGACGCTGCTGCCGCTGCCAACCGCACTGGGATGGGGAAGGGCCCGCGGGGAGGGGGAAGCACTGCAGACTCTGCCATCGCATCGGAGGCAGGGGAAAAAGGACGGCCGCCTTGTCTCTGGCCGGCCGAGATACCGCTCCGCCAACCCCCCACCCCCCAAACTCCCTCCCGGTTTCCCCTCCCTTTGCCCCAGCACCTTGCCCCCCAACATTTGTCGTCTGACATCCGCCGTCTCCGACTCCTCCTCCTCCTCCTCCTCCTCCTCCTCCTCCTCCTCGGGGATGCGGAGGGGCGGCCAACCTTGCGCTCGACAAGCTTCGTCAAAGTCCCTGGTGGCCGGTTTATATGTTCCGCCTGCTCGCTAGCAACAGCTGGTCGACTACCACCGCGAAAGTGAAACGTAGCGAGGCGGAAGAGATACCTGTCACCTACCTCAAACTCCCATCCCCATCTCTTCTCTCCGAATCCGATGTTCGCTCCTCATCCCCATCATCATCCTCCTCGTCCTCCACCTTCGCCTCCGCTTCCTCCTCCCACTCCTGCTCTACGAGCAGGTGTCATGTGGATCACATGGCACCTGGCAGACTCATACTCGAAGATGGTCGAAAACCACGCGCTGGACTACCTATAGCCTCCGATGATGCGGACAGGAGCAGGAGGCTGTTATGAGTTCGGAAAAGCCAAGCCTGGACAAAGGCCCGCCGCAACACAATGTTTTACGAAACGGATTACCATTGCATCCTGGAACCGGCATCACCGTTTGGTACGAGGCAGGTCCGAAAATTAGCCTGGCGAAGGACCCAACCATATGCAGCTGTGAGTACCGCAATTGTGAATATCGTCCTCGGTGGAGCTCCTTCTAAGGCCACGAACTGTGTGATGGGCCTGCCACAGTGGTGGTGGTGGGGAACCGCATGCGGGCACCCCCACTGGTGCCTACAGTTGAGCTCCCTGTGGAGCCACGAAACGCTGCCCTGGGTGGGGGAACCGCATGCGGGCACCCCCACTGGGGCCTACGGGGGAGCTCCCCGTGGGGCCACGAAACGCTGCCCTGGGCGGGGGAATCGCGTGCGGGCACCCCCACTGCGGCCTTCGGTGGAGCTCCCCGTGGGGCCACGAAACGCTGCCCTGGGTGGGGGAACCGCATGCGGGCACCCCCACTGGGGCCGTCGGTGGAGCTCCCTATGGGGCTACGAAACGCTGCGCTGGGGGGGGGAACCGCATGCGGGCACCCCCACTGGGGCCTTCGGAGAAGCTCCCTGTGGAGCCACGAAACGCTGCCCTGCGTGGGGGAACCGCATGCGGGCACTCCACCTGGGGCCTGCGGTGGATCTCCCTGTGGGGCCACGAAACGCTGCGGTGGGGGAACCGCATGCGGACACCCCCACTGGGGCCGTCGGTGGAGCTCCCTATGGGGCTACGAAACGAAGCAAGGAGGGGGAGGAAGGAGGAGGGGGGGGTGGGGAGGAGGGGGAGGAGGAGGGAGGAAGGAGGTGGGACGCGGGGCGCTGTCTCTTCAAAACGAGGACCCAACACCACAGGATGGTTGGGAAAAACAGTGCCCAAAACCAAGTTACAAATTCGTGTCGGGTGGCCTAGGCGGCAGCCAAGAGTTCTACCAGAGACCTCCACCAAGAGACCTCCAAGAAGGCCCTAGAAGGGCCCCAGCAGGCTCTCAAGAGAGCTCTAAGAGTGCCCCAAGAGGGCCCTACACTGTCCATTGCACAACATGGTGTGGCAGTCCCAGCAAGCCCCCCAAGAGACCCCCAAGAAGTCCCCAACAGCAAGCCCCTAAGAACGCCCCCAGAGGCTCCAAGAGGGTCTGAAGAGGGCCCCAAACCAAGCTGCACTCTGCAAGCTGGCTTCGGGGCCTCAAAAGGGCTCCAGGCGACCATCAAGGAGCACCCAGGCCCAAAATGGCATTCTGCAACTCGGATCGGGGTTCCCAATACAACTCTTCCATGGCCCCTCCCATGCGTTCGTCCCCCCAACCTTCCAATTGAAAGTCCGACAAGGCCCCGAAGACATGCCCCAATGCTTCTTCGAGCAATCAAAACCAAGGCGTCGATGGATGCATCCGAGGTGGCTTTGGGAGTCCCCGAACCAGGCCCAGAAACTCCAAGAAGCCCTAAATGCCTCTCAAACCGGCATCCACACATGGCTCAATGCAATCCGTAACCGCCTTACGCTGTGAACGAATCTTCGGGCTACTGCGCCCCGGACGGCCACAAGACGACTCCAATACCGCCTCCAGACAGCTCAGGGCTGTCAGAAGTCTCCCAAGACGCCTCCATGGCAGCCCCTACACGGGGTCCGTGCACCCCGACATGGCAGAAAAGACCGCCTGCCAAGACGGCCCGAACAAAATCGCGGTGGCGAAAAGTCGCCGCAACGTTATTGAATGCACATGAACAATGGCCTGTCAGTGCGCGACCCCCGCACTCATCTGAAGATACCTGACAGGCTGGTAGCAAACATTTGCAAGAACCTCCACATCAATTGGACTCCGACAGGTTCCCATGCTTGCTCGTACCATCCTGCTTGCCTGCATGCGCGTGCATGCAGGTACCATACAAGTTCCGGCGTGTGTGTGAAGACCTACTACTAAGAAGCTGGAAACGCGGCTCTACCCACGAGTCACGAGTACAACATACGGGCGCCATGCATTTGGCTCACATACGGGGGACCGGACCACATGTGTTTTCAAATCTCGCAAATACTAATGAAACGCAAAATGTGTATGCTATTTACCGGTCGTGTATGCATGTGCCTACGATAAACTCGAAGACGCTCATCATTAAGCAAATGTGGAGGCGCGCCTTCAACAACATCCCCCACAATCCGCGCTTGCTTACCATCGACATCATCTGGCGAATACTGGTGAACGTCAGTGTCAACAGCAGCGTCGTCGCAATAATCGTGATGCTCACGGCAATGTTGCCATTACTATCGCATATTGTTAACACCATCACACGAGCAGATCACCAATCGGGAAATGTGATCATTATGCGTATCACCTCCAGTGTGACTGGGCGTGCAGCCTAGAGGGTTCCCAATAACCCCCTTAATGGGGCGGTGCGTGGCCTCAGAGCCAAGGATTCGACTCGCCAGGTGACGAAACAGGATGTAGGCCTAGGCCAACGTATTATGGGGTTCCGGCCGGTGCTGGGGTGCTGAGCGCTGAGGTGATAGGGTGTGCTGGGGCATTGGGTATGCTTCGCTTCTCTCAGCTTCGCTCCTCTTCTCAAGAACAGCGCTTACACTACGGGCGCCTTACTTTGCTCCTCAGAAGCTGTGTATCCTGCTCGAGAGCTCGGCATGTCGCCGCCCGTCGCCGCCCCCTCGCCGCCCGCACCGTCTGCGCACATGTGTACACCAACCTACCCCGCAGATGCGCGAAAATCACTGCTTGCGCTGCGTGCATACGCTCTCACATGACTGCTCATGCGTGACACACTCCTGGCACTCCTGGTGTGCGAGTGAGCTTGTCTTGGTGCGGCTTCATACGGCTCTCACACACTGTTCGTTGCTCCTCTGCCCCGTGGGAACGCGGGCAGGATGGACCACCTGCCTCGCTAAGCACCTGGGGCCGCGCAGAGGCAGCAAGCAGGGGAGGGAGATGAAAAACGGTGTTCGGGCAAGGGGGGTGGGCAGGCTCGGGGCCTCCGCACCCGCAGCCCAGAGCAAGGCAACAGGGGAGGAGAGACAAGCCACGACCAGAGCAGACGGGGGGAGAAAGTGACGGGCGGAATGACGGACGCGAGGCAGAGCTACAGCCGATGCCCCGGCCTGTGTGCGACGTGGCCAGCGTCTTCGGCTGGGAGCCTCCTGCGCGGGAAGGGAAGAAAACGGGGACCATGACCAAGACTGAACGCGGAAACGTCGTGCCGATCTTGGCCACCGTCCATCTTGACCAGCTTCACTTCGTGAATCATCCTCGAGAATCGGCTACGGCCGACATGCACCATGACCAAGGTCGCATCGACAAAATGCCCCGAGATCTTGGTCATGGTCCCCGTGTTCTTTTTTCCCTCGATGCGAGGTGTCGGGCCGGGGCCAACTCCAGGAGAGCTGCTGCAGATGCGCTCGGGCCGCTGAAGAAGTGCTCTCTCGGGGCATGGCCTCACAAAACCACGGCACCACGAGAGGCCGTGGCACGTCTGGGTACGCCACGCTCGCGACACGGACTCCAGAGAGACTGCAGTGGAAGCTCGATCACAAGAAACTTTCCACAAGAGACCCAACCCTGAGACCCAGGACGCCCATTGATGTTGGGTGTGGGAACGTCATGCTTTCCATCGCAGAACCATCGAAACCCAAGAGGCAAACAGGGTGTTTTTTCTTGGCATGGGTTTCCACTGCGAAACGCTCGACGGGACCTGTCAAACCGTGACCTTGCGCCTTGCCACGGATGGCAACTAATACCGAGCCCCGCGGCCAGGAATGTAAGGCTCCCACTCCTAATTCTCCTCATTTTTTGAAATCGGCCACACAAGGATTCTCGCAGGCCGCTCCAAGCATGTCCAACGACCCTGACAACTGGTTGCCGAGAGAAGCGCAAATTGAATGCCGCCGCCGCCGCCGAGGAACCACGGGGCTGCCACGTCAATGTTGTTTAGGACATAGTAGCTGTTGCTCGGTTTATGAAGTACCGCTGGCCTGGATCCTCCGACCCTTCGACACCCTCTGTGACTCTCTACTTCAAACGAATTTTCGTATGCAGCTGAAGTGCTCACATAGACAGCATGCTTGCATTCACAAGAACACTGCGCGAAGAAATGTGTAATTCCATGCACAGACGAACAATCAACAAGCACATTCGTCATTGGTTTCTCAATGAAGGCGGGTGTCGGGAAGGAGGGATCGGACTGGGGGTGAGGGACACGGGCTAAGCCATCTCAAGGGAAGACAGGGGGTAGCTCAGGGCAGAGGCATCACCTCTCGTGGCTGCAGCGGGGGACCCAAAAAAAACTAAATCCAGCTGCTTCCAAACGCCTGGACCTTCTGGACTCCGCGTGGAAGCTTGAGCATCCATACACACTGTGGCTGCTCGCGTATGGCTATGCGAAGCGGAGCGAAGTCCTCCAATCGGCACGTCGATCTGCGAGGTCTTCTCCCGCTCCTCCTGTCGCGCCTTGAACTTTTCCTGCAAATGACTGAAGATATGCATTGCTACGCGTCAGTACAATATTCCCCCGACTCCAACGCCTAAATCCCCCACGTCCCACGGGGTGTACCAAGTTAGTGCACACAGCGAAGGTATCCCGCAAAGGGTGGAACAATTTGGCATGGGCGTGAAAAAAACATGGCGACTGCAATCTCGCTCGGATGACCACGTCCTGATACCAACGCAAACTTCCACCACAGCACGCGGACGGAAGATCCGAAGGACACGGCGAGGCCGACGCAACCACAAGGTAATGAGCGCCAGCGCTCCGCAGGGCCTTCCCGGAGAGTTCCCTAGTCTTGTTTCCTTCCACGGGCCTCAGGTTGTCTTGTCTGGTTTCCTTGCCGGGGCCTCGTGTCCCCCATTCCTGCTTCCTTACGAGTGTTCCTCGGGTTCCCCAGTGTTGTCCCTGGGGCTCGTTCCTCGGGTTCCCTGATCTTTTTCCTGGGCTCGTTCCTCGGGTTCCCTGATCCTTGTTCCTCGTTTCCTGGGCTCGTTCCTCGGGTTCCCTGATCTTTTTCCTGGGCTCGTTCCTCTTTTTCCTGGGCTCGTTCCTCGTTTCCTGGGCTCGTTCCTTGGATTCCCTGGGCTCGTTCCTCGGGTTCCCTGCTCTTGTTCCTTGCTCGGGTTCCCTAAAAGTTCCCCGGTCTCGCTCCCTGCTCGGGTTCACCGAGATTCCCCGGTCTGGTTCTGCGCTTGGGCTCCTCGCGTGCCCAAGTCTTGCTCCTTGCTTGGATTCCTCGGGATCCACGTTCTTGTTCCTCGGGCTTCCGGGCATTGCGAAGCAGTGCCCAGCAATGCCAAGCACCGCGCCCATGCAATAGAAAGCTTCCCTTAATCCGGGTCGCGCCAGGTTCTTTAAATGAGTTCCGCATTCTCGCCTCTTCAGGCGTCTGCAAATCCAAAATTACTCGAGAGGCCCCCAAGACTGGCCCAAGACGGCCAAAGGGGCCCCCGGTAGGGCCCAGAGAGGAGCGCAAGAGATGCCCCAGAGGGGGAACCCGCAAGGACCTTGGGAGCCCTCCACCACAAGATGGCCCCCAGGTTCCCAAGCAGGACCCCAAGAGGCTCGCAAGAAGTCCCCATGAGACTCCAAAAGCCCCCAGGAGCCCTGAAAAACTCAAAGAGGCCGCCCCCCAGGCCTCCTGGAGGCCTCAAGAAGCCCCGCAACAGACGCGGATGAAGAGGAGGACAAATCAACAACTACACTCAGGCAGCACGACATGATGCGGTAAACGGCACACGAAGGCGGAAGCCGCACGTATCCTCTTCTGGTGGTCGGCGGAATGGCGAAAGCCTCCTAAATAATTCAGACGTTATTCGTCGGCATCCTGGCAGTGTACACGGATTGAAACCATTCGGACTGAGTATCACCATAGAGGATCGTGCACACGCTTTTGAAAATACGTCCATCGTTGAAGCGAATGGTCTTCGCCAGAACATGTCAGTGGGCAGGCGGTCGAACGAGGGTACATTGTTTCGCGTGTGTGTGGGCGATTGAGCTAGGAATTCTTTGAGCTTGAGTGCGGTTCAATCTAAAGAAGTCCACGAAGGGCAGGATATATAGAGTTCCTACTCATTCGCGCACCTGCTGACACACCTTCCCCCGTCATGGTACCTAACGCCTCTCGCACGATACAACATGCTCATGGGCGGGATTATGAAAACTACAATTTGCCGACCAAAATCAAAGATATCCCCCTTGTCATCCTCTTCCTCCCCGTGACGGGCCCTCATATCTTTGAATGGTGGTATGGCGAATGGCCAGTCACGCGCCGCGTTGTGCAGTACTGTCAGTACTGGCTCTCTGGCACAAGCCACGCCCACGTACTCATTGCGGCCCCTCTTCAGCGCCACATGCGGGGGGGGGGGCCGACTGATGCGCGTTCCTCCAGTGGATCCGACACAGATTCCCGTCGGAATTGGGGGAGGGGGTCCCCGAGAAGAGAGGTGGGGCGCGCAAGTGCCACTGGGGCTCCTTTACACCCTATGAATCGGAGCCCCTTCGGCAGATCCCAACTGCAGAAAAGTGTCGGGCAGGAAGGGACCGCGTGCAAGCGGGACGGGCCGATCACCGCTACCCTCGCCCCCCCTTCGGCCGCCAGAAACCGCGACGCAAACTCGCGTGCTGCCCGAAGCCGGCCGGCGCCAGAAAAGCGTCGCCGCAGCCCAGGATATCCCTCACTGGTTTCGGCTGAGCGCCGCTAGAACTTGCCGTGGACATCCCTGGGGGGCGCCACACTATCCAGCTCCGCGCTGCGGCGCGATACCGATACGGGCGGGCGCGGGCAGGAGGACCGCCACGCCAAAGGAGCGTGCCCTTCAAATGTAGCGTGGCTCCCCTGCTGAGAGGCCTGACGCCCAGATGCTCGCACTCCACGTGCGCCGACGAGCTGCACGATCGTGAGCTCTAGCACGACGCCAACCCCAGAATCGAAGATGCCAGAGAGGGGGCACGTCCCGCAGACTGTCGACAAGAAGACTCCGTCACCATAGCCGATAACCTCCTGCGAGTCGCCCTTCTTGCGCAGCTTCATTTTGAAGCAGACATCCTCTTCGATCGCAAATGACGCGCCGATCGTGAACACGAGGCTGGCCATGTCAATCAGCCTATCCGCTATCCTCTGTACGACCATGCCCACCGCCTTGGCCAACCCCTGAAAGCTTCCCCCTTCGCTGGTTTGCTCGACGCCCCGTCCAATGAAGGTGTTGACGCGGTCCTGGCGAGGGCCCCGGTCCTGAGGCCCCAGCGGCGTTGACCGCATCGTGAAGTGTACCAGAGACGCGGGAGACGCTGTTCGTGTGTGACTTGTCGGTATCTTAGTTCCCCCATCACCACGTTCGTGTGGATAAAAGCCCGTCCGCAGGGGCCCAAGATAGAGGAACGCGCAAAGAACGAGCCAGTCGTCCGAATGGCATGAGCGGTACCCGCCCCATTGGGGGTGGTTCGCGACTACATTTGTTTTAAGAGGCTTCGCGGCACTGAGGCGGCGGCCAGTATAAGTGAGGCGGCCATCATCATCAGCACCACCACCACCCTCAGCATCATCGTCATCAGTCCTGCAGCTTGTCCAAGGTGCTCAGGGCGGTCCGCCTGAAGCGAGGGTGGCCCGCCGCGGACCACCATACCATCGACATCCACTGCTTAGTCCGCCTCTACATACCGTCCGCTTTCCCTGTCACATGCGATCCTCTCTTCGCCCTCCTATCCTCTCCTCCCCTACCCTCCGCCTCCGCCGTCACATCCACCGCATCATCAGTCCCTTTCTGCCCTCAAATGAGACTTCAAACTATATCTCCTCTGGGCAGCCCGACTCTCTCAGGCGGGCGCTGGTGGCCCAGCGCTGCCAGAGCAGGCCAGCAGAGCGAGGGTGACAGATCATAGACCGAGGAAAACTCAAAATAGGACCGAGCAAAGCGCCCACACTCCCGCCCCCTCCCCCTCCAGCCTCCGCGCTGCAACTGCGATACCATCCACACAACTGGCTCAGAAACGTGGTCAAACACATACTCTTCCGACAGACATCGCCCTTGATTCCCGGCATATCCTGCAGAGCTGCGAACAGACGCAGAGGTGTCGTGCCTAAACTTGTCAGCCGTGCTTTAGCAGATACGCCGGGCAGCTGGCATGCGGAGCAGCGCGCCTGGACGGCTTTGCTTCCACTGCACTCGGATCATACCTGTGGCCCTCGACCCGCTCGTTCTCGCTGGGCATGTCAGTCGGCACCTAGCAAGGACGCCAACAAGCCATCCGGCTCAGGCAAGCCCGATTGTGCGCGTGCTCGCGCTCCCAATCCGTCGCAGCGGGGTAAGTCCACATCCCTGCCGTTGCTGCGCGGCGAGGCAAGTCAAGCAACAGACACAAAAACGCTAGGGCATCAAGGTCAGTCCCTGGCGCTCCGATATCTTAGGCCCGTGTGAGGACTACGCTCTGAAGGTGAACAGCGCGAAAGCCTCCAAAGCGGAACTCCTAACCTCAGCGCGGTCGAGCTGCTGGGGTCCGTCGTGCTGCTCACGATGCTGCTGCCGGAGCATGTCCTGCTGATCGCGGCCGCGCTGCGGGGATCCGTCGTCCTGTTCCCGATGGCGCTGCTGGCGCCCGTCCTGCAGCTCGAGGCCGCGCTGCTGGGTTCTGCTATCCGGCCGCGGCGACGACGGTTCTCCAGAACGAACAGCGGCACCGGGCGTGATCGTCGCGGCAGGGGGGGGGGTCCAGGGCGAACTGGGAAGGCACGGCGTCACCGTGAGCATTATGGTTTCTGTCGACCTGGCCGTCCGTGGTCCGCACTCGATCCCAGGGGCCAGGGGATCCACTATTGGGGACGCCAGACGGTGGCGAAGGTCTCCCAGCCCTTCTGGCGCCAGCGTGTCATCGTAGCCTTGGACAGGTGGTTCTGCTGCCAGACAGAGCACCTCCTCGCGGTCCAGGAGTGCCACTGCCAGACGCGTTGGCCCGCGCGCCTCTGGATGGCGGCCTTTCGTAGCGGGTCCTCAGCGTGGCGACGAGGCTCTGACCAGGTGCGCCCCAAGCAACGGCGGCATCGCCTGCAGTAGGTGTGCGCTCGGGGGCCTATGCGGGACCAGGAGGGGCTTTCTGGTTTCTGACACCGCCGTCGTTGCTCTGTCCAGGAGCGCCGTTGAAGGCGGCAACCACGGGGGAGATGGGGGTTCCCCCTGAGCCCTGGTGAGGCTCAAGGGAGGCCCGCTGGTTTCTGACCCTGCCATCTCTACCAGGTTCGGCCCGCTGGTTTCTGACACCGCCAGAGCCCCCCGTGTCCCTGAGCACGCTACCAGGTGAACAGACACTAGCCTCCGACACATCACAACTGAATGCGCAGCGAATGCCGCGATAACGGGTGTGAAGCTACCGGGTTCGATCTGCTGGTCTCTGACACCGCCATTGCTGCCAGGTTCAGGGGTGCCACGGAACGCGGCAAGAGCCGGAGAAATGGATGCTCCCTCTGAGCCCTGGTGAGGCTCAGGGGAGGCCCGCTGGTGTCTGACTCCGCCATCGCAACCAGGTTCGGCCCGCAGGTCTCTGACACCGCCATTGCTAGCAGGTCCGGGGGAAATGGAGTTCCATCGGGGCCCTGGTGAGGCTCAGGGGAAGCCCGGTGGTTTCTGCCACCGCCATCGCTGCCATGGTCCGGGCCCCCCAAGCGGCCCCCATGGGCCCCCACGAGGCCTCCCAAGCGGCCCCTCTGAGGCCCCGAGAGGCGCCCCACAGGCACCGAAGACGCTCCAAGGGCCGGCGAAAGGTCCCGAAGACGCCCGAAAGGCCCCCGAGAGATACCCCAAGAGACCCACGGCCACCCGAGATGTCCACATGATGCCACGCTCCCCCGATCGAGGCAGCTCCGCTGGGCATCGTGCCTGGATGGGCTGGTGGGGACACGCGAAACGTCAAGAATATGGGAGAATGACTGCACGAGAAAAGTGAGGAATCAACAACAAGAAAAGAAAAGAGACAAGCGCAAGCGCATTTATTCGCTACCCGAGCCTGGCTGCAGATCAGGGTACGCCTAAGCCCGGTGCCTCCCGCAGGACGTCGGGCAATGTTGTGTCCTGCCGGCCAGACAAGGTGACCATTTCGACGAGTTCGCTCAACCCCGATCCTAAAATGCTACGGCCCCCTACTCATCGAGCACTCTCCCCACCTCATCCCAAATGACCGACGGTATTGGGTCGATGAAAGGGGCGAGGTATGCGAGGTGAGAAGTGCTCTGCTCAAGGTATCGAAACGCGGTTTCTGCTCGAGTGCCACACTGAAAACTTGTAGTGTTGTAACCATGGGGGTAATTTGATAACGAAATGCGTCGACAGCCCAGCGAGCAAAAAGAGTCAGAGCCAAGGGAAGGCACCTATTACGATTAGCGTCATACCATGCTACTATGAAACAGCTCGACATGTCTGCACCAAGAAATTGCATTATTGAAGCAGTGCTTGCACTGACGGCTTCCTACTTGCACGGTGGAGAAGTATATCGCGCGGCTGCTTTCCACCATAGTCGCAAGAAAAGCCCGCTTGCCCGTGGGTGTTGGCATTCCGCGGTATTTACCGACGGGGTACGGGGTCCCGCCCGTAGGGACATGTCATGTGTTGCCCATTTGTCCTGGCTTTCCGCAGTAGTTCCTCCGTGGTTCCGTCCTATACTCGAAATGCTCCGTTGAATTCGAACTTGCCGCCAACATATCAAAACCAAAATACTTTGAAACTCCAGGTGAACTCGCACCGCCCCCAGACACCGCGGGCCGCAGCCACGCCGCACCAGCAGTAGCAAGCGAGCGTGGGAATGGGAAGCGACGAGCGCGAAATACCGACGAGGGCTGGCAAGAAACTACGGATCACGCACGCAAACTGATCCCATGAGGCCCCCAAAATGCTCCCAAGAGGTCAAAAAACTGCCCCCAAGAGGCCCACGACCGCACCCCGAAGAGGCCCCACGAAGCATCACTGAGGACTCTGCCCCACGTCAGCGTCGTCATCGCCGCCGATGCCGCCGTCGTGGTCGTCGTCCCCCTTCAGGGTCGGCGGCACCGGCCGTAAGGCCTTCCCATGTATGGACGATGCACTCCCGAGTGACCCCATGGATGTGCTGGTCGAGTGCGTGAGGCCCAAAAGCAACGCCTCCGATACTTACAGCCATGGCACTGCCCGACAGAGCGCCGGATGCGGAACAGAGGGGCTCGCCCGGCCACGGCGAGCCTCGTCCACCGTCAGGATCCCCGACATAGACCTCAGGAGAAGCCCGGCACTCAGAGCCCCTCCTTGAGCATCGTTGAACCGATCCCTATCCCCACAAGCGTGGGCTGGGCCCAACTGGCCGATGTACCCCCCGGATGGGTAATTATATAGGCTGGTCTCTTCGGGTTTCGAGGGGCATATCCCCGACTGAGGTGGTGAGGCGGTGGGGCTCGGGATGTGGATGGGGAGGGGGATAGGGATCGGTGAAACGATACTGACAGGACTCCTGAACCCAAAGTGGTCCTTGTTTGAGCGCCTTGACAGTACGGTTCCACGCCCTGAAAACGCGGCTCTGAACTGCCCCCGGTGCGGCGCACCTTCCGCCAGTGCTCGTCCGCACCATCGCTACGGAGAGCCCGCATCGGCTCTCGCGCGCCTGCACAGGCTACTCATGGGTCAGGGCCTCGCCTCTCCACCGCTGGTCCCGGGCGTGGACCGAGCACGAGGAGCGAGCAGCTGAGGGGCAACGATAAGGGGTATAGCGATAGGGGGAAACATCGACCTGGAATCAGCGATACATCGCCGATTGTGAATCCGCACGTGCCTGGACAGGTTGGGGCTATCGGGCCCCTATCGGCGATCAATGGGCGCTTGGGGGTCGATGAACCCCTGAATAGCCCCGACCTCCGACGTCGTGGTCTTTTCCCAACAGGGACCCCAATCCCTTCCCCCGGGACCTGCTGCGCACCCCGTGGCGTTCTTAGAAGGCCCCGAGCCCAGGAAGAGACCCCTGGATACCGGCACCGCCCAAAAAAACCTTCGGCCGTGATTCGTTCACGACGTCAGGGGCTCTGGGACTCGACGGGTCCAGTACTCCTGGCAATCACCCTACATGGAAGACAGAATGCTGCCGTGAACGGCCGCACTCTCGAGCAACACCCTTCGAACAAATGTCTGGTTGGACTCATGAGATGTTGAGGAGCCCACAGAGCAGGTACGCGCCCAACCAGGCACATGAACACGGCCGCGTGATACGAACGTTCGCGCCATGCGCATTCCCGGGACCAGCGTGGTTTCCTGCACGTGTGCGTCCTCCTTCCGCTCCTGGAATGCACTTGCACTGCAACCCGCTCTGGGCGACCCCGCCACCAGCACGAGATAGGGAGGCTGGCAAAGAATTAGGTCGGGCGTGTCTTCCTACAGGCGGATATGGGACGAAGAGTAAAACATATAGAAAATACCTAAATGAATATTCAAAAATACTCAGAAGAATGCCCCCTGACTTGTTCTGACTATTTTTGAATATTCCTCATGTAGACGGACAGGCCCTACTTAAGCAAAGCATCGGTTGGGTGCAGCGCCCCGCCCCGCCGCCCCGGTGTGGCAGCAGCAGCGGCAAACGATGGTATTTTGGACTTGAGCCAAAGTACGAACAACAGCACACACATGGCATTTTATGTCTGCTACAATACAAAACAATGCAAAACTATCGGGAACAAGGTACCGGTGTCCACATACTAAACCTGAGGGTGAAATCAGGCACGCTTCCACATGCCCCAAACTTTCTAGCAGGTTTAGGGATCCCTTGTGGACACAAACTGGTAGCTAAATCCATACACGCGTGCTCACATGAGTGTAGCCCTGGAAACACCCTGCATCGGTTTACTAGAACACCCCCGTGGTGCTCAGCACTGGAGCTGGGAGGCAAGGAAAGGAGAAAGAGAGAGAAAGAGAAGGAGAGGAAGGAGGGGACACCACCAACACCACCACCGTCGTAGTCCTCGGGAAGAACCGTGAGGAACTCACTCCAGGATATCATGTTCGTCTGGTTCAGGATCTTCCTGGAAGCAGCCTGGAAACGATTCTTGGGTCCTGGATATTTTCGTCTCCGTTCTACTTCGGAACTCTCATCCACGAGTACTACTCTCCCGCTGGCCACAGGGTCGAACAATGCTGCATTAGACTTAGTAACGTCGTCCTTAATGAGTGGGTCGACCGGCAACCTGCCGTGCGGGATCCAGCGAACTCTGCCTTTAGAATGTTCTAAAGCTTCACAAACCATTGCCAAGTCTATAACGGTCCTTCGGCCCTTAGCACTGGCAGTGCCTTCATCATGGTGTCGTAGATGGACTTCGCGTCCACTACGTGTACTTGCCTGTCTCGAAATCCGAGTCGACAGCCACGGCGTAGCACTGGCAGTGAACGGGCCAGACCTCCGGTGGTGATCACGGACACTCCCGTCGCCGAACACCACATCTCGATACAGGATCTGATACTTCCGCCACTGCCGCTGAGAGAGCCTGGGTTTCTCCAGCCAGGGTCATAGGGACCTTCCGCCGAAGCTTGGAGCTCCTCCATCCGAGAATGGACGTTTTTTACAACTTGGTTGTCCAGCACGGCCTGGTCACACGCCAACACCATCCAGGCACCTTGGTATCGGTCCTCAGGGGGTCCCCGAGGTCGGACAGTCCGTCGACGGCGCCTACACCTCCTGCATCAGAGAAGGACAGGAACGCCATCTTGTTAGGAGCCAGCTTCCAGCCAACGATACCCTTAGACGCGGTGGACCGAAGGTGCCTGACCAGCTTGTTGCCCATAGCGATGTCTCTGGTCGCGGTTGACTTCAAACGGCTGGCCAAGATACTCGATACACCTGCTGCTTCAGGGCGGACCTCTCGCCCAAGCCCATTAAATTTATACACGAGTGAACGGAGGGCCTGAAACCCTGCCGGTTCAAGAGGGGCATCTTTGCGGTAGAGTCGCCCAAGAGCCACCGACAGAGGACGCACTTCTTCCAGGATGTACATTCCGTGTCCACGGCGGCCCTCCCAAGCCCGATGGTAATATGTCTCCCGGCGAAATCAACGGACCCAGCCCCACGGTTCCGGAACTTCCCAATACGGAATCTCGATTCCAGACACTCTCGAAGCCACTTCCTGTCATCTGGCGAGGCACTCCCTATGAAGAAATCGTCGGCTTCGAGCAACATCACATTCTTGATGCTGCCGTCGGGCCCGCATCTAATCCACCAACAGGGTTCAAGTAGAGACCGTGAGAAGCCATGACGCTCGAGGAAGGTGACCAAAGTCTCCCGCCAGGCCATCGGGGCGTCGTCTAAACCGTAGACGCTGACCTTTAGGAGGATAAGTGAGCCCGGTGGCAGGTGAATCCCCTCACAAGGTTCTACGCAAATCTGACCCTGGGGCCTGGACGTGGGATCGAACAGGCAAAAATCATTTTACCGTCGGCACTGCCCGCAAACAAACCCAGGTTCATAACAACTTGCAGGAACATCATAATACTGGACGTTTGGGGGGTCGAAGCATAGACGGCCAGGGCCCCGGAATCAGGATCACGATGGCCGTGGACACACCACCGCGACATGACGCCAGGGACCTGGAAGGTCCCTTCCACCAGCTTCCGGCGACGGACCATCCAGCTGGAAATGATCCTGTCGGAGCGGGCCTTCCGCACGGCTTTCGCCTTCAGAGGAGGAATCACTTCTACAGCTCCGGCGCCCATCATTGCGCCCCACTCTTTGGCGTCAGAAATCCTGAACTTGTCTCTCCCGGCAGGGGTGAGACTCTTCAATGATACCGGAGAAAAAACCCAATCAGGGCTATAGGGCTAGGGGGCTATAGGGCTATAGGCCTATTGAGCTATAGGGCTATACAGCTATAGGGCTACAGAGTTGTAGGGCTATAAGGCTATTGGCTGTTGGGCTATAGGGCTATAGGGCTCATTATAAGGCTTCGGGCTATGGGGCTATAGGGCACCCCCGGGCACCCCCCGGGCACCGGGGCACCCGGGCGTGCAGCGAAAATCGGAAACAAACCTAACGTAACCATATGACACCAGAAAAAAACCCAATGAGGGCTATAGGGCTAGGGGGGCTTTAGGGCTATGGAGCTATTGAGCTATAGGGCTATAGAACTAGGGGGATATAGGGCTATTGGGCTATTGGGCTACAGGGCTATAGGGCTATGAGGCTGAGGGCTATAGGGCTATAGGCCACCTCCGGGCACCCCCGGGCACGCCCGGGCACCCGGGCACCGCGGCACACGGGCACCCGGGCACCCCCAGGCACCCCCCGGGCACCCGGGCACCGGGCACCCGCGGGCACCCGGGCACCCGGGCGCGCAGCGAAAATCGGCGACAAACCTAACCTAACCATATGAATCCGCCAGGACCCCTACAGAGGCAAGCTCTGATTGGGGAATGAATCCGCTAGGACCCCTACAGAGGCAAGCTCTGATTGGGGAAAGACATCTCTCCCCCCTACTGGTGGCGAACACACCGGACTCCTTACAATTTTCCCCTGAACACATCGGCCTGGCCTGGGCGCCACCACCGACGCCACCGGGGAAAATAAGGAAGTTGGTGGCCTCTCCCGTCGGGGAGCGGCTCCTGCCCCGAACGGGAGGCCGGGCACCGGGCGGCACCTCCAGGTCCCGCGCCATCTGGCTGACGGGCCTCCGAGGCTCCAGCCCGCTGGCGGTGAGATGCCTGCCTCGCTCACCCCCTCCACTTCTGGCCGAGGCCTCGGGGTCCGAGGGGGGGTGGGGGGCTGAGGAGCGGATGGGGGAGGGGGGCTGACACCCGCGGGGAAAGGCCGGGGGGAAACTCGACTCTCTGTCTCTTGTGCTCTCGGGGCTGCAAGGATCGAGCCCCCCGAGTGCAGGCAGGGACGTCATCTGGCTGTCGGAGTCTTGCTCCCGACTGAGGGGGGCACTTGACGCCCTGCCCCCACTCCCGGAGAGCAGAGGAGCGAGGGGGATCGAAGAGACAGCACCACGGGCAGGAGACGGAAGAGGAGGGGGACCAGAGGAAGCGGGAAGCGGAGGGGGAGAGAGAGAGGAGCAGGAGGAGTGGCAGGCACCTGCTCGCAGGGCCCGGCCCGGGGGCCCTACTATTCCTCCTCAAGGGGGAAACTGGCGGGGAATTCTCTGAGGTCTGCCTGGACACATCCTCGGAGGGCGCCCAGGTCTGCTCCGAGCCGGCCTGCGCCTGGACCGACTCCGTAGTCGACTCGGGCACGGTCACTCTCCCCGGTCCTCTGGGCCCCGCGACCGGAGCCTGTCCAGAGCCAACCTGGGACGACACTGGGGGGCCAGGAGTTCCTGGCATCGCACTCGGGCCCAGGACCGGCTGACCCAGCACTTGAGGGGCTGAGCCCATCTCGCGCTGCACCTGGGTGTCCCAGGCGTCCTCAGAGGGAGGACCTTCTCTCGGCACATCGACGGCGGTAGCTCTTCTCGCGCTTGACTGCCTGAGCAGCTCGCGCCATTGCGGGCTCTGAGACAGCTGGGCTCCAAGCTCTTCATCAGCACTGGCTAACCTCAATTGTTCGACCGAACACTTCCACAGGCGGGCCCGGACAGCCACCCAAACCGTTCCCCCCTGAGACACGACAACGGCCCCAGGACCGCACCACCCGTCGCGGCGCCTGCCTACAGCATCGGCCCAGGAAGATGACTGGGCCATGCGCCTCCAGACACACACCCACTGCCCAGGCACGAAGTCGCGAAGAGCGGGAGCCTTGGCTCTCGAGGCGCGGCTGCTCTTCTCGCGGGACATGGCTTGCATGGCTAAGCTCCTGGCCGAAGCCCGAATCTCCTGCGCTCTCGCGAATTCCGCTCCGGCGGCATCTTGCTCGGCAGGGGATCGAAGGGAGCCTTCCCAGCCGGGAAGTCCGCACGAATCGTCACTCAGCAAATCGCAAGGAAGTCTCGGATTCTCGCCGAAGACGAGCTGCTGGAGGAGCGAGAAGCCTCCTCGGTACCAACATCGGTTCTTGTGGGCAGTCAGTTCATGGACAAGGGTGTCAAGCTCATCTAGATCTCCGGGGGCGTGGGCGCCGGCATCAATATCCACCTTGACTTTATATTTGATCCATCCCCCGTGGCGTTCAACCTTGCCGTTCTGCCAAGGGGATTCGGCATCGCACACGTGGCGCTTCACACCCCCCACTCTTCGAACCCACGCGCAAAGCGTTCTCCAAATTCAGGTCCGCCGTCTGAGATCATAACGCGTGGAGCTCCTAGTGGCCTTAGCCAACACTGGACAGAGCCCGCCCACACTGTGGCAGCTCCAGCGTTGGGCACTCTACAGCACACTTGGAGATTCGACCCGTGGTCGACAATATTGATGAATGGATGCAAAACACCTTGGAGTCAAGGTAGAAAAAATCGCTGCCAACAATATGGTCGAATCGAAAGGTGCGGGGAAGGGCAACGCGACGGCGTTTACCTGCTCCGTGGTTCTCCGCACACTCGGAACAAGAGAAACTCACCCTCACCCACTTGATCAAGCGTGGCTTGACCCCCCCAGCCAGAAGGACCCGACAGAACATTCTGACCTCGGAATGCCCCATATTGACATGCACCTTGTAGAGGAGTCACTTATCTTCTGCCGACGGTTCAATCTCCTCGCTGGGAACAGTCCGAGAGACGGGTGGTCCTCGAGTCTCGGGCTCGTCTCCGCTGTCCGCCTCACTTCCCTCGTCGACTTCCGATCGGCCCCAGGTGACCGCTACCTTCCACCGCCGCCGCCGGGAAAGACCTCTCCTCCATCTCAGCCAAGGTGGGACGACAGCTCTCGGAGGCCCCGCCCCACTGCTCGGCAACGGCTCTGGCCACCAGCCTGGCAAATGTGGAAGTGTACCGGGCCGCCTGGGACGTCTGATGGCCGCCTCCTAACACCGCGTGTCTGTGATCCCCCAGGCAGAGGTGGCCTCCGAGGAACCTCTGCAGGTGAGGGTGATTCGTAAGGATTCCGGTTGGCTTCTTGTTCAAACCTCTAGAGTCCACCTGAAGCCCAAAACGACACATGTCCACCGTGACCCTAGCAACCCTCGGAAGGCTTCAGACATACTGGACAACACAGGTATCCCACGAGCGGGCATAAAGAGGATGCTCGAAGGCGAAGTACCGCCCCTTAGCTCGCTGGTGCTGCGCCACCTTCACGCACAGGATAAGATCGCGAAGCCCATCCCGAACCTCCCGACGCCACCGATCGGGATTTTTCACATCTCGATCGATGCGATTGATGGCCGAAAAAACACGGCACTCGGAATACATCCAAACCATGTTGTGCTGGTCCCGATCGATCTGCCCCCAGATCTGCTCAACGTGAGAAGGCCTAGCGGAGCCCCACCTGGAAATCCTGTCCAGGCTCGGATTTTCCCCCAAGAGACCCCCTTGCTTGCTCACTTCCAGAGCGATCCCTGGAGGAGAGAGAACTTCCATGAAGGCAGCACGGCCCCTCCGCCTGGAGCAAGCCCCCGCTACGCGCCGACCCCGCGGCAGCACTCCTCTCGAGAGCATTCCGCACGGCACTGGTCCAAGCCACCTCGCGGTCGTCGTTCGCACAATCCCCGTCGTTCCAGAGCACTCCGAAACCCTCGGGAATCGCCGAGCTAGGAGCCGCTCTCTGGGCCCCGGGGCCTGGCGGAGGCCCTTGGGCCCCTCCAAGCGGAACAGCTCGGGATCTCGGGAAGCCTGCGGGGTAGCACGACGAGAGGCAAACTGTGGGAGGACAGAGCTCACACGTATCATCTCGGGCAGCTTGACAGGGGGCCCGTGAGAAGCTGGCCGCCAGGCTCAGCTCAGAAATGTCTCCGACGCCCTGCGACGCCAGTCCTGACTCTCGCGGCAGAAGCTGACTCAGACCAGCCCCCACAAGCCGGGCCCGGCGGGGTCGGGCAGCACCTGCTCCGCCCCGCCCTGGCTTTCGATGTTGGCCGCTGCCGTCTGAGCGGTCGTTGGCAGCGCGGTGCTCCCGGGGTCGAGGGTCGTAGTCACGGTGGCCTCCTCGCTTCCACTGCTCAAGCTGCTCTCGACCTGCTGGGCCTGTGGATACCCCGGGCGAGGATGAGGAGGTATAGACCGCTCCCGCTGGCGCCTCCCGAGCTGCTCGCCGCCTCCTGAATCGGTGGGCGATCCCCTGGACGGCCGCGCCGATCTGGATGGCCATCTGCACGAGCCGGTGGAGTGCCATGTTGGTGTTGCCCACTTGAAACTGAATGCCCTCGATGCTCTCTTGGATCGAGTGCACGGTGTCTCCGAAGACCTCGAACGTTCCGAGGGCCCCCCGGATGTGGGCAATCTCTTGGAAAATATGCTGGAGTCCTTCCTCGATTTGATTCGCGCCCATCGGCTAGTGCAGCGAGACGAACTCGAGCATCCTGCCCACCACGGTCTGGATGTCTTTCATCGCCTTGATCTCCTCGAGGAAATCCTGCAACTGCCATTGCAGAGCCTGGAGCATGGCGTTCGGCCCAGTGGCCGCGTTGAGTACCGCAGCTCCCTCCACAAACGTCGGGCTGTTCTGGGGCATCTCCACTATTCGAGTCGCTGCCTCGGCCGCCCAGCGAGCTGCTTCTGCGGCGGACTCGGGGCGTTCTGCTGGAGGCTGGTCCTGGTTTTTGGGAATCCAATTGGAACCGACGGTCGCAACTTCGACACTTGGCCCCCCATCCATGCTGGTTGCCGTAGTACTTGATGTCCGGATGTTGGCAGTTGCAGGCTGATAAGGGGGATTCCTGAAGGCAGGGGCGGTGGAGCCGAGCATGTCCATGGGTCGCCCTCCTCGGTCTCCGTCGGAGCCGGTGGGCGAGTGATTCTCGGCGCTGCTTTCATGGGCAGCGGCTTCCCCACGTGGCCGTTGGCGGAGGCTTGACCGGCGCCTCGGCGGCCACGGGAATTTAGGGCCACGCCCTGGAGCATGCAACTGTCTGCCCCAGGGTGGCCTCCGGCACCGTCATCTCGAGATCTGCTCCAGCGCTCGCCTGAGGCCCGACTGCAACGTCGGCTCCTGCTGCTGCCCCTAGGTCGAGGGGCGCGCCCTGGGGCGCCTCGGTCACCGCCGCCTCTCCAGCCGCGCCTCCGCAACGGAGCTGCCTCAACATATCCTCCGTAACCTCCTGGGCTACCGGCTTGTTCTTCTGCTTCTTGGGTCCGGCACTCCCCTGGGCGACCAGGCAGAAAAGCACCACCAGTGGGGTCGCCATCGATCGGGTCTGCCAGAGCTCGTCGCCCTGTGAGTCGGGGCCGGGCAGGGCACGGAGAGCGCTGAAAGCTTGGATGGCTTAAGCCAAAATGGACTACGGAGGTGGGGGCAACTATGGGCCCGCTGACATGGTGGACCGGCCCCGAGACAAGGAGGGCCCAGAAAGGCTGAAGGGGGGCGGCGCAGGGCCGCGCTGAGCATGGCCTCCGGAACTCGTTGACCTCGCTGGGCCATTTGACGTCCTCAGCTGGCCCCGCTGAGCTCTGCACCGAGACTTGCCGCCAAAAACGATCAAGAGGTCTATGGGGATACCCTGGACGAGCCTCCCGGAGCACCTGCGGTGCCCGACCCCAGTGGACTTGGTCTCCTCGGACCTCTGCGCGACACTGTCTGGGACAAGCTCCTTGGAGTTCCAGTGGTAATCGATCTGCTCGGCTCTGGCATCCTCGGACCTCTGCTTGACCCTGCTGCTCGTGCGGCTGAGGCCACAAAGGGCCGATGGGATTGAGCCCGCGATGGAGAGGAGGAGGATGGACGGGAGCATGCAATCTCGAATCTTGCTCGCGGCGAACATCATTGAACTCGACAACGTCGGAAGTCCGGAACGGAAAACGCTGAAAAGCCGACTCTGGAACCATCTAGTCTGAAATCACCTGGACAACATCCGCCATCCGATGTCCCGACCCCAACTTGGCCAGAGGGATGTCAGTGTCCAGGCGGCTGGAGCACATGACATCCCTGGCAAAGTCGATGACACCCTCGAGAAAGTCCCTAGAAGATTCACGCTGAAAATGTGCGGCACCCCCTCGGAAAGGACAGCAGTCTCGACGACCCCGAGGACCCCCGCCAAGCACAGAGGAAACAGCACTGCACCCACGATCTTCGCTGGGCCTCCGATCCCGCGCGCGGCTCTCGGCCTGCGGAAGTCGGGCGGCACCACCACATGCTGATGCCCGACCCTCGCCAGAGCTTCGACTGAACGCACTGATGCCTACCAAGTCACTCCCAGCTCCTGGGTCGACCAAGGCCTGGACTGGACTGGACGTGCGACCACGAAACTGTCGTTCTGGGTCAGCTCCTCCTCGACGTCTTCCCAGTCCACAAGGTCCTCATTCGCCAGGGGCTTCTCCGTCTCGATGCAGGCTGCCCCCGCGAAGGCGTAGCCGGAGAGCTGGCCCCCCTGCTTTCTGCGGTCGGCGTTGGGGCATTCTCTACTCCAGTGCCCCTTCTGTCTGCATATCTTGCACTTGGTCACCTTCATCCGCTTCTCAATTGTCAGGCGAAGAAATCTGCCGAGCCTGCCTCCTCGGCCCTGGTCGCGATCTTCGCGTCCACGCCCGCGTCCTCGACCGCCTGGACGACCTCGCCCGCTACCTTGGCCTGGCAGGGGAGCCCGTGGAGGAGGCGGCACGTTCGCCTCCGAGGCCTTCGGCCGACCGCCGAAATACTCCCTGTCCTTCCTGGCAGCGCGCTTGAGCTCCTTGTTTTGCTTCCATGTCCTCCCTGCAAACAGTGTGGCGATGGCCGCCAGCGCCTCGTCGACCTGGTCTTCGTGCTCGTCCCCCTCGTCTTCCTCCTCGGAGACCTCGTCGCGTTCCCCCGAGTCGTCCTCGACGGCACCGTCGAACCCACCGGGGGAAGGAGAGAAAAGGGAGGCCTGAGTCTGACGCGAGCCGTCGGCCCTGGGCTCTTCGCCCGCAGCGCCTTCGGCCACTTGCATAGCACCAAGCATGCTACGGCTGTGCAAAAGACGCGCTGAACTGGTGGCGTCCATCTGCCTCAAGGCCCAGGACACGGTCTCGAAGTCGAGCTGACCTCTGGTGCGGGTGCGAAGGTCCTGCAGGCCCTGCTGTGTCCAGCCGGCACCCTCCTCCAGAAGCAGCCCTTCAAATTAGAAGACAGCAGCCACATGTCGTGCCCTTCTGCCTCCAGCAATTGGGACTCTCTCCTGCTCACAAACTGGACGAGGGTCTCATCCGGATCTCGCGAGGCCTCGAACAGCGCCTTGCGACCCGTGCGCCGAAGGTGGTCTCCCTCGCGTTCACCTATCATCATGTCCATGCGTCCAAGGACCGTCTCAAGCCACCGACTGCTACTGAGCGTGGCCTCTGGGATGTCCTCGAACTTTGCCTGCATACCCCAGTCATCTGGAACTCCTTCCTGTGGAGGGCTCGACGCAAATGCTGGTGGGGATGAGCTTGCCGCCCGCATAGTATCCCTGACTACACCGGCAATCATCTCTCTCAGCTGATCCGCGGTCAAGCCTGCTGTCGTCAACTCGCCGGTCCCTTCGGCACCCTGGATGACAGTTGCGTTGAACTGCACATCTTCACCCGTCATGCCGTGGAACCACGCCAGTCGCCTCACTGGGCGCGGAGGTCGCCTCGGGGCCTCTGAGCTCCCGCGCCTGGCGCCATGGCGCGCCTGGTCAGGGAACCCCTGGCCGCGGAGGCTCCCACCGCTCCGCTACCAACTGTGGCAGCAGCAGCGGCAGACGATGGTATTTGGGACTTGAGCCAAAGTGCGAACAACAGTACACACATGGCATTCAGTCTGCTACACTACACGACAGAGCGAAACTATCGGGAACAAGGTATCGGTGTCCACATACTAAACCTGAGGGTGAAATTGGGCACGCTTCCACACTGGGAGAAGGCAGGGCCGTGCGCCCGGGCCGCTGGCCGCCTGTTGGAGCGGCCAGGGCGGAGCACCGGGCGCGCACTCGGCCCCAGCGTCGAGTCGATGGATCGAGTCGGGCGTCGGCCCGAGCATCAAGATGGGCAGACCCAGGCAGGGCCGAGCCCGCAAAAAGGAAGAAGGGGGAAAGAGGAGGAGGAGGAGGAGGAGGAGGAGGAGGAGGAGGAGGAGGAGGAGGGAGGAGGCAGGAGGAGGAGTCGCAGGAGGCAGCAGATCGGGCGCTGCCCCGCCGCTGCCACTCCGCGACGCCTCGCCCCAGGAAGCGGAGTGCGGAGCGGGAGGACGCCAACAGTGCACCTGCACCGATCCCAGCTGGACGCGTCCTGGGCCAAAAGATCGGAGAATGCGCCCCCCTGGCTTGGCCAGAACCGCACACGAACCGGTCCTGGCCACAAGATCGGCCTGGCCAGGATCTCGGGAGCGGCCAAGAGAGGGGTGTCCAAGAGGGGGGGGGTGCAAATCATGACCGGCGGCATGTGCGCGGCCCAGCGGGGTGGGCAGGGTCGCAATGGAATAAGAAGAGGCGCCATGAAATCTGAGGAAATATCATGGCCCCCGCCATTGTATCCACCCCCCAAGTCATCACCCCCCTCTTTGCCGCTCCCGAAGATCGGTGTATATAATTGGGTGCACAGCTGGCGTCTTCCGGAAGAGGTGGGCACCGAGCCACGTTAGCCGTTAGATGCTCGTTCTGGGGACCTTCCTGGAGCCACTTGCTCCACGCATGCATCGATGCTGCGTCAAGCGTCCGCCGACTTCAGTCCAACTCGAGTCGAACTTCAGTCGACCCATAGTCAAACTAAAGCCGAACTAGAGTCGAACTATAGAGTCGAACAGGTCGCTCGGTGTGCCCCAGGAAGGTCCCCCGAGAGAACATCGAACCCCCACTCTCCCACAAGGCCGCGTCCTTGGAGCCAGCTCCGTCCGAGCCGCGCTGCCGCCTGAAGTCGGCGCAGAGCTCGCTCAGGGGGCGAAGCGCACACTTTGCCATCCCCCTCTCGGCGACCGGGCGCGGCTGGCCAGCGGCGTCTTCTCTCTGACGGCTGGGGCCCCCCCCCGCTCGTCGACCCCGCCTCGCCTCCGCCTCCCCCGGCCCCTCCTTCCTCCCCTGCTCTCCCTGCATCGCCCTCCCGCCCCAGCCTTCGGCCCAGCCCGTCGCCCGGCAGGGTGAGGGGCGCCAGGGGCCCGCGTGCCGCCCGGGAACGGCCACTCTCCCCCATCCCTCCGCCCTCCCCTCGGGCCCATGCAGCCCCCCATCCCTCCCCCCCCCTTCCTCCCGGCGTCGCCCCCCTTCCCTCCCCCCGCTTGCCCGGGCACGAGAGCTCGCGTGCCACCTCTGAGAACCACCTCTCCCCCTCCCCCGACCCCCCCAGTCCGCGGCGCGCAACACGGGAGAAGTGCCGTGGGGGGCGGGCCTCCTCGCAGGGCGCCCAGAGAAGGCCTCCGAGGCCACGCAGGGGGAGCTTCTGAGCAGCCCCGCCGCCCCTCGGGCAGGCCTGCCCCCCACCCCCCCTCGCCTCCCCCCTCGGCGCGCCCACCCCCCCGCGGTGCTTCCTGAGCCCCCCCACGAGCAGGAGTTGGGGAGCAGCACGCCCCGACGCCCAGCGGTCCCAGCCTTGCGCCAGCGGGACGCGGCCCCCCTCCCTCGTCCCCCTCACGGCACGAGCACCGCCTCAGTGCCCGATCCGACCGACCGATCGCGTCCCCCCCGCAGGGCCATCCACGGCGATAGCGGAACCGAACACCGGCCGAACACCGACCGCGACACCGGAACCGACGGAACCCGGCAGGCCGCAGGCAGCCGAGAGGGGCGCAGCGACGCGGCGGCGACGCGGCAGCGGCAGGACAGCCGACCGAACGCCACCGACGGCGACGCAGCCGAGCCGATCGCCCGAACCACAAGCACCTTCACCCGCGGAACGCTCACTCAGCACGGGGGCGGAGGAGGACACGGGTCCTGTGCCCCGGTGCCTCCCCACGGTGGAGAGCTCTTCCTCGCGATCCGGTTGGCTGGAAGTCCCGGGGCCCGTGGAGGGCGCCGAGGGCCCGAGAACAGGATAGCCCAGGATCGAATTGACAGGTCGGATCGGCGATCGACATAAATCGGATCGATCGGCGGAAAACGGCGGCCGGGTAGGGAAAAGTCGAATCGGCAGACATCGGCAGACTGGTAAGCCTCCATTGCGAAATCGGAATCCGAAATCGAATCGAATCGGAATCGCAAACCGCCGAAATCGAATCGAATCGGGAAAATCGAAACGAGCCCTGCAAAATCGGCAAGAAAAAAACATAGGGACCCATGTCCCTCAGGGCCCGCCTCCCCCACGGCGACCACCGCCGTGGTGCGGGAGGCACAAGAATATAATCGTACTTTACGTCCTCCTTGGAGGTGCGCGTCGGACCCGAACATATAGTACACCAATATTGTGGCATATCGCTTCCCGAGCGGTGTGGCCGGAAAGCGCCCGCCACGACGCATATACTATGGGATTTCTCTGTGCACGCGTTGCCCCTGGGGGGGGGGGGGGGGGGCGACGTACGTATAGTACAAGTATGTTGGGGCAACGCCTAGAGGCCTCCTAGATGGGGTCGGAGTAGATGGGGTCGGAGGATCGCGCCGCATCGCCGATGCACCGGCGACGTCGACGATGCATCGGCGACGGCGAAGTGAAGAAGATCGGGCCCTACATCGAGCCGCATCGGCGATGCATCGGCGATGCATCGGCGATGCGGCGCGATCCTCCGACCCCATCTACTCCGACACCATCTAGGAGGCCTAGAACGCCGATGGTGGCTTCGCGGCGCGGCCCCCCGGGGAGCCTCGGCCCCTCCCCCCGTGGACCCCAGCTCTCCGAGCCGGGCCGCGCTCTCGCACACCACTGGCGGCGAGCCCTACCCCATGCAGCCGGGGGGGAACAGAGGTGGGGCTGGGGTAAAAGGTGGGGTTGTAAGGAAAATCGCTCCGAACGGACCCTGGAAGAAGGAAGCGCGTGAAACGGGAGCATCCAGCTGGGCCCGTCCCCCAGCTCCACCTTGGGATAACCCTCCCTCTAGGAACCCCCTCCTTTCTCCCTCCTCCTCTTGCCTGGTGGCACAGATCGCTCGAGCGGCATCCCCGCTCAAGCCTCTCATCGCCAGCGCAGTCACCCTCTGCCTAGCCGCCGACGCAAGAAGCGCTCACAACGCCGCGGGGTGCGCGTCCTTCCTCTCTCTCTCTCTCTCTCTCGCTCTCGACGGCGAGCCTGGGGGGGGGGAGTCAGAGAAAGTGGCGGGCCTTCTCCGAAGGCTCGGAAGTCACCCGGCCCTGCTGCCGGAGGGCTGCTGCGAAGCCCGGCCGCCTTCTGAGAGGGCCTTGTCCTTCTCACTTCCGCCCCCCTCGCCGCCGCCTACTGTCCCCTCGATGCCCCCTCCGTCACAAGGAAACTCCTGGAGGGTGTTCGTAAGAACAACTACGAGCTCTACGAGGCCCGACCGATTAACGAGTCGCCAAGCCGGGGCAGCCTGGATGAAGCCCAAGATAACGACCACTCCAGCAGATTAAGCGGCAATCAACAGGAGTCTGCCATATTAGGCTGGCTTTCGACCACGAATAGTCCAGCGCCGATGCGGAATCTAACCTCCCATGGGATGCATCCGAACCCCTCCATTCCCCCTCCGTCCTACGTCCACCACCCGTCACCACCACCACCTGCACCTCATGTTTCCAGGCGTTCGACGCACGCCGCTGCCGAGAGCCCGAAAGTGCAGCCAGAAGGCACATCGACTGGGACGCATAACGGACCACTCGGATTAGGCCTGCAGGGGCAATTCCCGCAGTCTGGGCCGAACTCTGGAACGAGATGGAGGAGGGGGGGTGGGAGGAGAGGAGACGGGGCAAGTCGGTCGAGGTCGAGAGGATCCTTGCGAATGGACGGGCCTGAGAAACCCGTTGCCCGCGCCAGGCACTCAACGATTACCTGAGACCCTGTTGTTGCTACACTTCCCCAAGCGATCCATGTATTGCAACATGCGGCTGCACCCAATTCAAACAGTCATTCCTCTCGGAAGCCAAACCTCTACCCGAAAAACGGTCACCTCTCGACACATCACAGCATGCAGCAGCGTCGCGCGCGCGCATGCTAGCCAAAACGGCTGCAGTGGAATGAACAGACGACATGCGGACTCAACGAAGGAGTTCGTTGATAACAAACCTTTCCTGAGCAAGCCGCAACCCATAAAGCGAGCTACCCGTGGCGCGCACCACATCACCGTCGACACGGATGCCACTGCACCAAAAACAAACATGCAAACCGATTCAAGACCTTCGAAGTTTATGATTCAAATCACGCAACCTTGGATTTTAACAAACGTACGTACTCATATGTGTCAGAAACAAGGGTGGTGTGAGAATGGGAATGCTTGCTCTATTTACGAATGAAGGATGTTGGGGCGATCGCCGTGCACAGCTCTTGCATGGTACGTTTAAACCCCGATGAGACGACCATTGAACCCCCTCCCCCACCTGGCTGACAGCCAACCCGGAACCATGCGGGCACTCCCCCCACCATCCCTATCAAAAAAATACAAAATGCCCAGTGCGGGGCCCACCCTGCCAACACCCTCCACAATCCCTGCCAATAAAAACCATATGAAGTGCACGTTGCAGCAAAATCTGGACAGTGCGCTGGCGCCCTGTGAGCACCTTGTATTGATGGCGAAGCACCGTTAGTGAAGCCGCTTTGTGCAGGACCACCATCCGTGTCAAAACAATGCAAAGTGCACGTTGCGACAACGTCGTAGGTATTGTGCTGACCACCCGCGATCACTTGTATTGTTTTTTGACAGGGACGGCGGTGGCGCCCGCATGATGATGCTTGCTGTGCGCAGGCCCAGAACAATGCTGACGCCCCCCACATCAGCATTTGGACCATGCGGACGGGGGGACATCACGTTTTTTTCACAAGGATGGCACACCAACCGCATGTGGAGCTCGCGACGAGCATCGCGCACCTGGCGTCCGCTTTGGTTCCCTGTGGCTGTCCATCCAGTGGCGACCCCTGGCTATGCCGAGACTCGGATGCCGCTCATGTGGTGGGTGGGCGGGTGGGAGTGAGCTAGACAGCTTGCGTGCGGAGAGGGTATCTTGACCCCTCCCCCTACCCCCTCCCCTGGACGTGGAGGGGGGGGGTCGCGGGTCGTTGGAGCGTCCAAGATGCCCAGAGATGACTCCAAGAGGACCTCAGAGAGCCCAGGATGACCTGAAAGATGGCCCAATATGGCTCCAGATGGCTCCCAAGATGCTCCAAGAGGCCCCAAGACCGCTCCAAAACAGATCCAAGTGGCAATGGAAGCCCCCCAGGATGCCGCCAAGAGGCTAAAATCCGTCAAAAACCTGTTTGGAAAATCCATGAAGTTGACCTTCTCGATGTTTTGTTTTCGATGGCCTTCCGAGGCCTTAAGACAGCCCCAAGGGGGGCCCTAAGAGCCCCAAGAGAAGCCCAAGAGAGCCCCAATACGGCCCCAAGAGCGCCCAAGAGTGCTCCAAGAGCGCTCCAGGAGGGGTCCAAGAGGCGATTGTCAGAGCTCCGAAGAGGGGGCCGTAATTGGAGCTCCCCCCTTGTTTGAGCGATCTCCTCCTAGATGGCCCCGAGAGCGCTCCCAAGGCTCCCAAGAGCGTCTCAAGAGGACCCCAAGAGGCTCCCAAGAGACCCCTAGGAGGCCCCAAGAGGCTCCCCGAGGCACCTAAGACGCTCCAAGAGGTCCCCGGGACCGCCAAGAGGCCCCCAAGAGGCCCCCAAGAGCGCTCCAAGAGGGACCCTTCCTCTGTGTGCTGCCCACTTCCATGATCGAGACAACTCCTCTGGGCATCGTCTCTGGGGCTACGCAAAGCTTCAAGAATTAACATTACCTTGAAACCAATCCGATATTATAAAAGTTGCCACGGGACACTCCTTCTCAATGTCAGGGAGACCCCAAACAGGCCTTCGCAGCTCTGACCCTCAAACGAAGGCAACCAAACAACACCAAAAAATGATTGCACATCTGCATGAACAAAGCTTAGGACGTGCGTGGAGACATGCATACACATCATTACTGACCCTTTTCAAAAATTACGTGTTTGCCGGACGAAGGCTGCACCGCCGGAGCGCGCCACCCCAATGCGCAGCAGAGAAAGCGTAAAACAAAAAGGGGGGGGAGACAAGGGAAGAACGGAGCAAGGAAGCCCGAAACCCGTAAAGACGGGGTTCAAGCGAAAATTTCACCCCGGGGCACATCGACAAGCCTTCCAGGAGTGGCAGCGCGCAACGAGGATGGCCACAAGCCACGGCCTCGAGAACGGCAGCAAAAAATCGCCCGTATGGGTGCCACTCGGTGCACAGCGGCTCACGGCAGGATAGGCAAACCCACCGCCAGACGAAAGGGAAGAGACGAGAAAGAAAAGAAGGACTAGGGACCAGAAAAAGGCACAGCACGCGGACCCCATGGTGGCGCCTTTGGTCACTCCACTGCTAGCAAGCACACGGTGGCAAATAGAGAAGGGAGAGATGGAAGACCCACAACAAATGAGAGCAACAATTACCAATTATGCATACTTGCATACGGCAGGAAAAGTCCACACATCCCTATCGCGCCAGAGACGGAGGGAAGAAGAAGGAATAGAAGGGAACAAAGAAAGACGTGGGGACCCACAAGTAGAAGAGCAGGTGAAGATACAACAAGGTGTAGCAAAATGGCTGGTAGCCGCCCCTGGGTTGGATGGAAACCGAAGGGTAATTAGAGGCGGGTACGGTGATCGGGAGCCCAGCTGTACAACTTCCCGCTTCAGGATCTTGCGTTGAATTCTGGCGATGGTCGCCTCGCCGAGCTGGCTGGAGGAATCAACCAATAGGAGGTGGACGTGGCATTGGTAGTGGCAGGGGAAGGGGGCGATGTGTGGTGGGTGGATTGATACTGCCCCAACTGCCAGACCTACTGTGCAACGCCGCGTTGATGATGTCTGGTGTACTGCTCAGAGGAGTGTTGATCAAAAACCTGCTTGACTTGCCTGTGGGGGTCAGACTCGAAAGCAAAAGTCAATGGCGCGCGTGAAGCCTTTGTCCTCGTTGAAGGGTGCCGTGTGCGAGACACCGTCGTCGGAGTCCATGCGGATGATTGGGCTCTACCCGAAACGTACAGCCAAAAACAATACACGTGCTGCGCAAGGGCGTGGTGCGGGCCCCGATGGTAGGTTATGTTATCCGCGGTGCTGTTTCGGGCCGCATTCTCGCCACCTTGCCCCAAGCCCGCGTCGCTGGTCCCAGCTGTCTTGCTTCGACCCACGCCTCGGGTCCAGATGCACTGCAGGATCTCTGTCAAGGTGCACAGCGACGCGGAATCAGAGATGGAGTCCGAGCTGGCGTCGGAGCTGCAATCAGAGTCGGAGGCACTGTGGATGTGGTAGTAATGGCAGTGATGATGATGCTAAACACTGGACTGCCAGTCGTGGTGGCAGTGCTGCTGGCGGCTGTGACGGCAGGGGCCGTAATGTGATTGTGATTGATCGTGTGGGTCGAGATAGGTGGCGGATGGTCACGACAGGAATTACGTAGTGGTCACAGCTGTCGGGGAGCGGTCGCAGGCATCATCGACGGGGCTGTCCACGCCGCTGTTATCCGAACAGGCGATGCGCCTGATGATGTCATCGGCATCGCAAGTCGCAGAACGAATGAGATGCCCATGCCGCGCTGGAGAAGAGTTGAGCATGGCGCTGTTGGGTGGTCGCAGCGGTGTTGAAATGAATAATGATGGCGGCGGGCATTTGGCAATGGACGTGGTAGTGGTATCACAGCACCCGGGGTAGGGGATTGGGGGCTCGGGATCCAACGTCGGGCAAGAACGCAGATTGAAGGACCGCGACCTAGAATACCTTCACGAACCTACTGCGTCAATGCGTCATAGGAGGGCTGCCGTCGACAGGGGCGTCGGGGCGTGCCGTTGGTGGTTGGCGCACGGCGCATATACCGAGACGGCGATGGTCGCGGGTGCCTCCGAGTTTGCCCTTGGGGCCGCTTCGAGGAGCCTCTAGGAGGAGCCCTTCGGGAACATCTTGGGGGCAAGTTGGGGGTCTCTTCGGGCCTCCTGAGCACCTGTTGGAGCAGTCTTGGGGCACCCTTGGTAGCCTTGGGTGCCATCTTCGGGCCATCTTGGAAGAGTTCCATTCCATCAAAGGATGGGATGCCTTGATTGTCCCCCCCCCCCCCCGCCCGGAGGCCAGAGGCCAGAATGTGACCAAAACGTTACTGAAAAATCAATGATGTTGGCCTTCTCGCCGAAGCCTGTAAGGGCGTCTTGAGTGCCTCTGGGGGGCTTGTGGGGGCCTCTTCGGGGTATCTTGGGGGCCTCTTGGGGGCAGCTTGGGGGCCTATCGGGCGCCTCTTAAGGGCCTCTTTGGAGCATATCGGGAGCCCCTTGGGGGCCTCTTGGGGCCTCCTAGGCACCCCTTGGCACCGTTATGGAGCACCTTCGGGGGCAAACTTACATTCGACACTTACATATATGATGGTCCCACGTTAATCAAGCCACGTGTAGCGTGTGTTGTAGGAACAGTTTTTGGCTGGCACCATCAACGAGCTATGAATATCGGAACATACATACAAGCAACTATACACGAACACCGGATGGTAGATGATGTCCCACTTGAAATACGGTGCGAACTCGACATGTAAACCTATCATATATGTACATACACGACCATCTTTTTCAATCATTCACCGCGCACATGAATGGAACATGCTATTGGCAAAAACTCACTCCTCACCAACAGATACGGCACCGATTACAAGAGAAAAGCCACCACGGCCTGACGAATGATCAAAAACAGACTACGGACATCCAGGTTCCCCCACACACACACACACACTTTTTGAGCCCCCGGCGCACAGCAACCTCAGGCGCGATCGTCACGTGGAGGTACCAATCGCGAACGAACTTAGTCGAACGCACCACGATGGACAGCCCAGCCATGGCCATGCCGAAGATGGTGAGGTGGTGCAGAACGGGAGGCGCTGTAAAACAAAGGTGCAGCGGCCCAACAAAAAACGGAACATAAGCTCGACGCGGATAATTTGAAGCTCAAGCAGCAGTCTGGTGCGAATTGAGGCCTCAAAGTGCCAGC